GATCTTCTCTGCGTAAAGAAGGATATCTCAGCAGGCTTTCAAAGGAAGCTCTGGCCCAAAGGCAGCAGCAATGGCTTAGCCCACACCAGTTAAAAGCTCCAGCCTGAAGGAGCCTCTTCCAAAGCCTCTTTTTTTCCATGAAGGCCAGGTCCAGGGGAACCACAGCAGAAGCAGCTGCTGCCAAATTAGGACCTTTCCTAATTGGAAAGATGGAAAGGAAAACAAACACCACATTTATTTTTAGTGCTTCCCTTGCAGTTGACCTAATCCGGCACGGCGGTGGGAGGCAGCGTTGATCTCTTGCCTCCACATGCAACCCTGCTGTGTGTGGTTCTGGAATCGTGAGGAGGGAAGTCTGTTCGCAATGTTTTAAGCAGGGGAAGAAACCCTGCAATGGGGGGAAACGTGCATTTTTGTCCTTGGAGGAGTGGAGCGTGCTGCCTTATGGAAAGGGTCAAAGAGGCAAAGGGCTTATCAACTGACAAAGCATCACTGAGGAAAAGCAGGCACACAGTTTGACACAGGCTGCTTTTTTCCTGCAAAGGGTAATGTTCCCCAGAGTGCTGTTCCCCAGATGGGGTGGAACAAAAGTAGCAAACAAGAACCTAAGAACATAAGACGATCCTGCTGGATCAGACCAATGGCCGCTTTAGTCCAACATCATGTTCTCACTGTGACCAGCAAGATTTGGCAACATGCTGCCATCACTGATGGCAAGTTCCATAGTTTATGTGTTGCATGAAAATATACTTTCTATTATCTGTCCTGAATCTTCCCACCTTCAGCTTCATTGGAGATCCATGAGTTTTAGTGTTTTGAGAGATGGAAGAAAACTTTTTTCTATCCACTTTCTCCATGTCGGGCATGCTTTTATAAACTTCTATCATGTCACCTCTTACCAGTATTTGCTTTTTTCTCTAAACTGTCCTGTTATGTACTGAGTTGAATAGGATCCAAAATGCAGCAGTCTGATTGGTCCTAGAACAATAGGATCCAGAATGCAGCAGTCTGATTGGTCCACAGGAGCCACCCAATCCAGCTCCAGGTTGGAAGTGAATCCGCAACCTGATTGGCCTACAGGAGAATCCCAGAATTAGCCAATCACGTGGGGCCCATTGTGTAAATCATGTATATAAAGCAGACATTCTGGGGGAACTTCCATTCCTCCTCACCACTATGAGCTGAATAAAGAGCATGAAATCCACTCTCAACTCCGAGTATATTTCATGTCCCAAACACCGCAGCCTTTTCATTCTTTGTTTTCTTTCTTTTTGTTATCTCCGCACTTTTTTTTTGTTCACCAGTTGATGAAAATTAAACAAAAGAAAACAAAAACGGATTCTGATCCTTTAGTTATATTTCCCCTGCAAAGCAGAGAGAGAAAGAACAAGGCTCCCTCAGTACATGAGGCTGCAAAAGAAAGAAAGCGTCACATGAAAGATCAAACTTTTGTTTGACTTAAGTTTTTGCAAAACTGTGTTGTGTTTTAAGAAGTATCAACCATCATGCTACCTCCATGACAGTTGAGAAATTTCACCCTGCTGGGAATTCCCTTGGGGACATGAGTGCCTCCTTCCACTATTTCAGCTTTCCAGTGGGTGGCCCCATAAGCCTGCTTGGTCATGTGGGGCTGACTTACTTTGAGCAGGGCTAATTTTAAGGGTGCTCCAGTTCTGCCCTCCCTCTATCCCTTTCAGCCAGGCATTGTACCATTGATTCCTTTCCTCCCACACTCCTGACTCCTGACTTTGTATCCAGGGCAGCTGTCTACCAGCTCCATCTGATACGCAGGCTGAGACCCTACCTGCCCGCAGAGTGTCTCTCCAGAGTGGTGCATGCTCTGGTTATCTCCCACTTGGACTACTGCAACACGGTCTATGTGGGGCTACCTTTGAAAGTGACCCGGAAACTGCAATTAATCCAGAATGCAGCAGCGAGACTGGTGACTGGGAGCAGCCGCCGAGACCATATAACACCGGTCCTGAAAGACCTATACCTCGGGTTAAGAACTTAATTCGTTCTGGAGGTCTGTTCTTAACCTGAAACTGTTCTTAACCTGAAGCACCACTTTAGCTAATGGGGCTTCCCACTGCCGCCGCACCGCCGCTGTGCGATTTCTGTTCTCATCCTGAAGCAAAGTTCTTAACCTGCGGTACTATTTCTGGGTTAGCGGAATCTGTAACCTGAAGCGTCTGTAATCTGAAGTTTCTGTAACCCGAGGTACCACTGTATTGGCTCCCAATACATTTCAGAGCACAATTCAAAGTGTTGGTGCTGACCTTTAAAGCCATAAATGGCCTCGGCCCAGTATATCTGAAGGAGCGTCTCCACCCCCATCATTCTGCCCAGACACTGAGGTCCAGCTCCGAGGGCTTTTTGGTGGTTCCCTCACTGCGAGAAGTGAAATTACAGGGAACCAGGTAGAGGGCCTTCTCAGTAGTGGCGCCTGTCCTGTGGAACATCCTCCCATCAGATGTCAAGGAAATAAAAAACTATCTGACTTTTAGGAGACATCTAAAGGAAACCCTGTTTATGGAAGTTTTAAATGTTTGATGTTTTATTGTGCTTTTAATGTTCTGTTGGGAGCCGCCTAGAGTGGCTGGGGAAACCCAGCCAGATGGGCGGGGTATAAACAAGCAAGCAAGCAAGCAAGCAAGCAAGCAAGCAAACAAACAACAACAATAATAATTAATCTCCCCCCACCCCACCTCTCTCTCTCTCTCTCCCACACACACACACACACACACACACACAAATGGAATACCTTATGCTGGGAACATAGGAAGCTGTCTTATATGGAGTCAGAGCATTGGTTTATCATGTTCAGTATTGTCTACACTGACCACCAGCAGCTCTTCAGGGTTTCAGATTCAGGGGTCTCTCCAACCCCTGCCTGGTGATTGAACCTGGAGCCTTTTGCATACATGGCAGGTGTTCTGCCCCTTCCCCTCCCCTTCCTGTCCTAGCCAGCTCCAAGAAGGGACAGAGGTCACTTGGAGGGATCTGTGTCTGCCCCATCATCTTGGCACCTCATGGGAAGTGGGGGGAAAGTCAGCAGGATCTTCCGCAAGATGCAGGGGCAAAATCAGCCTCAATGTCACACAGGGTGTTATGTACTGAGTTGAACAGGATCCAAAATGCAACAGTCTGATTGGTCCTAGAGCAATAGGATCCAGAATGCAGCAGTCTGATTGGTCCACAGGAGCCACCCAATCCAGCTCCAGGTGGAAGTGAATCCGCAACCTGATTGGCCTACAGGAGAATTAGCCAATCACGTGGGGCCCACTGTGTAAATAATGTATATAAAGCAGACATTCTGCGGGAACTTCCATACCTCCTCACCACTATGAGCTGAATAAAGAGCATGAAATCCACTCTCGACTCCGAGTATATTCCACAGACCCAGGCAGGTTGGGAAAGCGGGAGCAGCAGTGGGAGCTCAGAGCCCCCTCCAAGGATGGTGGCCGGGAGATCCATCTAAGAAGCACAGGATGAAGGAGATGGTGGGGCAAAACTAGCCTCTTTGGTTGTCGCATTCTGTCCCCAGGGATACAGCTGGATTCCTGCGTTGCTAGCTGACCCTTGGTGGCCTTTCCAACTCTATCATTATTTGATTCTAAGGCCTGGAGAAATGAGCCACCCAGAAAGGCCAGGGGGAAAGGCCCAGTGGTTTGCAGGCTGGGCAGAATCAAGGCCCTGTCTCAGCTGAGGCTGCCTGGCCACCTGAGAGCCCCCAGAGCAGTCTGTGGCCAGTAGCAGCTGCTCACCAGTCTGCTGGGAGACACTCATGCATCTGTAGGGCTACCTATGCCCAGATCTCTGAGCTAGGGGTGGTCAGTGACTTAGAGGAGGCCAAAAAGGCCTCTCTCAGAACCACCTCCCTACCAGTAGGCCCCCTTCCCAAATCTGCACTTTGCCTCTCTGCCTCTCTCTCCCTCTCCATGCAGAATGGGCAAGGGAGTGAGGCAAGGGGTCAGATCTAGAAAAGAGAAGATCCTCTACCTGGGGCAAACTTTCCGACAGGAATGTTGTTGAACTTATGGGACAGGCCAGAGTTCCTTATGAGCTGGTGGAGGCTGCAGTTGTGAGATCCTGCACTGAGATGACCTCCAAGGCACAAAACTAGAAACTAGAAAGTCAGTGCAGCCTAGTGCTTAGAGTGCTGGACTAGGACTTAGGAGAGACCAGGGTTCAAATCCCCACTCAGCCATAAAGAAGCTCACTGGGTGACCTCGGGCCAGTCACCGACCTTCAGCCTAACCTACCTCACAGGGTTGTTGTGAGGATAAAACGGGGAGGTGGAGGAGAACCGGGTGCACCAAACTGAACTCCATGGAGGAAAGGGTGGGATATGAATGCAAAGATAGCATTCCTAAAAATGAAGGTGGAGAGCTTTGGAGAGCAGGCTGCGTGAAATCAGCTGGGAGGGAAACGCACTCTGCACGCACACAGAGGTCCTCGGGCGTTCCTTTGCTTGGCAGGCTTGAATGCACCTCAGAGATGCCCTCGGGGCCGTTTGGCGCCAGCGCGGCAGGACGCCACAGCCAGGCACCATCGCGGTTTGGGGCGGCTGCTCCACGTCCCCGGAGACGTCCAGGGGAGGTGGGGTGGGAGGTCAGGTAGGTCCTTCGAAAGCGAAGCTCGACGGCGCGCGACCCGACTCATCCTCGCCGCGCTGCACCCGCCTCTCGCCGCCTCCCTTGTACCGCTACTCGAAGGAGAGGGCATCGCCGCCGCTGCTGGGGCAGAAGGTAGCGGCATCCCGGGCGGCGCGTCTTCAGGGCCAAGTTGGACGGCGCGCCCGGGCGAGGCTGTGCCCCGCCCTCGCTCCCTCCCTGGCGGAGCCACCAAGGGCCTCCCCTCCGCCTCAAAAGGTCCCCGCCCGCCCGCGCCTCCGCCGGGGGAGAGCTCTGCACGTCTGGGCTCCGGCGGGCTGCGGAGAGGCTGCCGAGGAGCGGGCGCGGAGGCCGGGCGAAGCACCGCGGACAGCTCCGCCTCCTCCGCCTCCTGCCGGCCACTTTTGCGGCTGCTTCCCGCGGCCGCCAGAGCGAGCCGAGCGCCGTCCTCGTTGTCGTCGTCGGGCAGGCGGAGAGCGCGGAGAGGCGGCGCGGCATGGAGCCTCCGCTCTGAGCTCCGCTCCGTCGTCGTGGAAGAGACAGGCAGGCAAGATGCTGCCGGCGGAGCGGCGGACGGCGCCTCCGCCTCGCGGGGACTGAGGAGCAGGGCGGCGGCGGCGGCAGGACGGGCGGACGGAGCCGTGAGAGCGCACGGAGCGCGGGAGCTGCTGCTGCTGCTGCTGCCTTGGCGGAGCCGCCGCCGGTCCCGGGGACGATTTGCCTGCCATGATCGCCGCCGGCGTGCTCTGCCTCTTCCTCTGCCTGGGTGAGTGACCGAGCAGGTGCGCCGGGGAAGGTTGGACCCTGGACGGCGAAGCGGAGGGGCGCCCCAGCCTAGGCTGAGAGCAGGGTGGGGGAAGACTGGAACGGGGGCGCGCTGGTGGGTCTTCTTGTGTGAAGGGAGGACGGGTGTGTGTTGGAGGGGCGCATCTGCCTGGTAGGGGGCGTCTCAGCTGGTGGGGGGCAGCGCTGCCTTTGCCAGCTGGGAGCGCGGCAGGAAATGGGACATGGCTGGCGGGGGGGATGGGGGGGGGGTCGACTGCTTCACCGCAGCGCTTCTGATCGGAACTGCTTCCCCGCCGCCAAGGTCGGCTTGGAGAGCCCCCGCCGAAAGTTTAGTTGAAAGAAGGAGAGCGCGGGGGTGAGGGCGGCATTGTCACCTTTGTCTTTGCAGGCCAACCGGAGCTGTGGGGGTGGTGGTGTATTAGGTTGGCGGGGGGCGTCCTCTCTTTTTGTCCGGAGGAATCAACCTCCCTGGCTTACGAGCTGGGGGGGGGGCATAAAAGTGCGCCTCGCCCGCCTGCTGGAGGGTACTGAGAGGCCAGTCTCCTGGGGTTGCCCCAGGTCGAGTCCTAGGTGGAGGGGCGGATGGCCGGGGGGGGGGTGTCCTGAAGGGCGAATTGGAGAAATAGGCCAGGGCGATGGAGAGAGGGGGGGTGTCTCCTGCCCACCCACCCATATATATGAGGGGAGAGAAACTGTATCACCTCCATCTCTCCCCAAATGCTGACACCAGGCTGCGGGCGGCCAGCGCCTCGTGAAGAGACCGCCTTAAGTGCTTTGCTGGACTAGAAAATGACCTCAGTGGGAGCTAAGCACTTGCCCACCCCCAGAATGCCAGATGTCTGTGCAGAAGCAGAGAGGGAAAGGGAAAGGAAGGGTCTTCCTCAAGAGAAGGTCCAGCCTCGCAAAGGTCCGTGGCAGGAAGACCAGCTGGAACAGGCGCAGGGGCCCCAGGAGCCCACTGACCCATCTTTGCCCTCTCTGGGCATCCTGGCTATAACTGGGCATGAGAGAGCAATCCTCGCCACACTGGGGGATGCAGCTCACGCCTGCCCTCCTGCCACAACCTGGCCACTCCCCATTTGCCGCTTGGGCTAGTGACTGGTGCTGTCACAGAGAGAGCCTCAGTTCTCAATGGAGGAAGGGTGCGTGTGTCTCATTTCAGGCCTGCTGAGCCCCCCAGCCTTTCCCCACCTCTGCCTCTTCTCTTTCCACTGCCCTTGCCAAATGCAATGCTTTCGGAGGCTGAGACTGACCCCAATCGTCATGTTGTCTTTCTCTGCACAAATGTGTGTGTATGCAAACAACACAGTGTAAGGAGATGGTGGGCAGGATTGGGCCGTTGGCAACAGCAATGAGCAGCAGGGCTGATGATGAGGTCCAGGGTCCAGTGGACCCCCCCCAACTGGATCTAGACTGCCCACCTCCTTCCTTTCACCTGGAATACTCTCCAACAACCTGGTGCCCTCCTGCTGTGTTGGGGAAGGGCTGTAGCTCAGTGGTAGAACATCTGTCTTGCATGTGGAAGGGCCCGGGTTCAATCCTTGACAGCATCTCCAGAAGGGGCTGGGGGAGATCCCCTGCTGGAAACCCTGGAGAGCAGCTGCCAGTTGGTGTAGACAATACTGAGCAAAATGGACCAATGGTCTGACTCACTATAAGGCAGCTTTCTGTGTTCCTATGCAACTTCCCTTGGTGTCCTAACAAACCTACAGCTGTGTGATGCTTCAACGAATGGGAGAGTCACTGCGCTGGCTGGGGTGGTGGTGGTGGTGGTGGTGAGAGTTGTCGTCCAAAACATCTGGAAGGTGTCAGCCAGGTTGGTGAATAAAGCTGCTCTCGTGTGGTGCTGATTCTGGGAGTTGAAGTTGAGTTGCAAAGCCGCAGCTGGCTCGCCCTACCTTTCAAGAGTGGCGTGCAACTGAAACCATTTCCTTATTGTACGATAAGGAAAGCTGGAACTTGTCAGCAGAACCAACAGCCCAGCTCCACAAATCTGCTGTCCTCTGTGTGTGTTGCCTCACATATGACTTTTAAAGAAAAAGAGCGTACATGTTTATGAATGTGTTGTGGGTTTGGGGGAAAGCGTACAACCTTGACTAGCTGGCAGCAAGCATTTCTGGCTTTCTTTGTTGGGGGCGGGGGGGATATTCTGTCTTCTGGAGGCGTGTGTGGGATTTCTTCTTCTCTTGATACGGCAGCAAAGTGTGGGCTGGCACTAGGACAGGTGATCCAGGCAGGGGGCAAACCAATTACAAATGCAACCTTTGGAACAGGAGCTTGGCACCCAGACAAACTGCATGATTAGATTTTCAGATCTGCTTTCCGTTTGCTGGCTGACCACAGACATCAATAGGTGCCTGGGATAACTTGGGTGTCCAGAAGATTTGGCAGGCAAAGGCATTGGTTTTTTGTTTTTCGCACAAACCAGGTCCTAGATCACCAATGCAGAGCAGGTCCAAAATCCATGGAGAGTGTCTCGTTGTGAACTGACAGGACATCAATTCCATGGATGTCTTTAGGCTGGCTTCTGAACAGGGTCACAAAACGAGGAAGAAGCTGATCTTTTTAAAGTGGGATGGGCTCAGGCATCATGTGAAAGGCGAGAGATCCCAGTGGGGGGGGGAATGTGGTTTTCAGGCCCCTGTTCTTGATGCAGGGTGTGGGATTTAGGGGCTAGGTCTCCTGGAAACAACCCTTGGGGAATTCCTATAGCACTGTGAGCTTTGTGTCCATGGCTTGGATTAAATTATCCCTGAATGGAAGCATATTCTGGAAACAGAGAAACTGAAACAGGACAGATGGATCACCGAGTCTTAACCAAGTGGAGTATCGTTGAGTTGGGTGCTCTTGATTGCAGTTGCAGTAGAGTAAATACGGTTCCTGCTGTTTTGTTGCTAAATTTAGTTCTCTCTTGATACCTTGGGATATAGTGGTCTCATCTGGGCTGGATTATCGTGAGTGGGACCTGTGGCAGTTTGGTGGGTGACTTTTTCCATCCCTCTCATGGATGATTCTGTTAACGATCAAGGTTGCTGCTGCTTGCTGAAGCTGCTTCCTTGCTTTGTGGATCCCAAGCCTAGAGGGAGGACTGCTTTGTTTCCTTACTGTGCTTGGTGTCTGCTCCTTCTAAGAGTGTTGTTTGGTGGTGATAAAGTCAAAGCAACCAGTGTGGTGTAGTGGTTAGAGTGTTGGACCAGGGCCTGGGAGATCAGGGTTCAAATCCCCACTCAGATATGAAGCTTCCTGGGTGATCTTGGGCCAGTCGTTCACTCTCAGCCTAACCTGCCTCACAGAGGTCTTGGAGGAAAAAGTGGGATATCAGTGCAACAAACAAACAAACAAACAAACAAATAATATTCTGCCACCATTTGCCATTGCAACTTTTCTATGCTGCCTTGCATAAGTGTTTGGTGAAAAACTGCCTAATCTCATAGCTAGACAAGCACACAGTGCTGACATGTTGGTCTCTAGGGCTGAAGTGGCTTCTGAATTCTGTCTTGGCCTTCCTCTGACAGTCACACAAGGAAAGGAACAGGTACTACATGGGATGAAATTGTCTCTCAGCACGTGTTCCCTGGGCGCTGGGCTCCACTCCTTTCCAGAAATTTGATCAGAGATGCATTGTCTGGTTATGCAAGTCTGCTATGCTCAAGGGGGGCTTTTCCAGATGAGGGATGAGCTGCGCTAGACAAGGGTACCAAAGTTGCCTAAAGGGGGAGGGAAGACCATTGCTGAACACCATTCAGATAATGGCTCTCTTCCAAGTGCTTGTGTGTGTGTGTTGTTGGGGGGGCAGGGGAGGAAGGAGCAGGGGGAATCACATTTCTCCTGCACACAACAAAAATGAATGGCAACAGCCACTTCTTCAAACAGCACATGGTTAAACTATAGAACTCCCTCCCACAGAGCAGGAATCAGTGATGGCCTCCACCTTGGATGGGTTTAAAAGAGTATTAGACAACTTCATGGCAAAGAGGTCTCCTAGCCACAATGGCTATGCTGTGGAGGCAGCAATGCTTCTGAATACCAGTTGCTGGAAACCAGTGGAGGGGCGAGTACAGTGGTACCTCGGGTTAAGAACTTAATTCGTTCCGGAGGTCCGTTCTTAACCTGAAACTGTTCTTAACCTGAGTTATCACTTTAGCTAATGGGGCCTCCTACTGCTGCTGCACCGCCGCCGAACGATTTCTGTTCTCATCCTGAAGCAAAGTTCTTAACCCGAGGTACTATTTCTGGGTAAGCAGAGTCTGTAACCTGAAGCGTCTGTAACCTGGAGCGTCTGTAACCCGAGGTACCACTGTACTTGTGTGCTCAGTCCTGCTTGTGTGTTTCCCTTTGAGGCATCTGGTCAGGCACTGTGGGAACAGAATGCTGCCCTAGATAGGCCCCTATGGGCCTGATCCAGCAAACTCTTCTTATGTGCTTATGATCTTACTGTACCAGGTGACTCTACCTGGTGGTATAGAAGTGCCAGCGGTGGGCTGTTGATTGGCGGTCATGGAGGCAGCAAGGTCAAAGCTCTCAAGCTCCTCTTGCAGAAACAATATGCAGCCAATTTTGGGACTCTTTCCTGAAATAGCTGGTGTTTAAAACTGAGCACCCCAATTCCCCAATGTAGAGCTTCCCACTCAACACCCTGTCCAATGACTGTTGTCCACACAAAATCATTTCACAAATCTTTCCAATATTTTATTGAATTCATATCCCACCTTTTTCTGCAAGGAGATCAAGGTGACATACATGGTTTCCCCCAAAGGTCGTCCAGTGAACTTCATGGCTGAGTGAGGATTCAAATCCTGCTTTCCCAGGTCCTAGTCCAGGCATAGGCAAACTCGGCCCTCCAGATGTTTTCGGACTACAGCTCCCCTCATCCCTAGCTAACAGGACCAGTGGTCAGGGATGATGGGAACTGTAGTCTCAAAACTTCTGGAGGGCCAGGTTTGCCTATGCCTGTCCTAGTCCAACACTCTAACCAGTACACCACACTGTATCTCAGTGTACACCGCCCCCTCCCCCGCTCTGTCCAGTGTTGGAGCAGAACTCTGCTTCTTTGCAACGGGTTTGTCTGTTTACACAACGTGTTTACTGCATGCACACCACAAAGTGGTGTGCACAAAAATATTAAAACAACAAGCACCAATTAAAATGATGCAATAAAGCCACAGGGTGTGTGGGAGGGGAACAGCTGGAACGTGAGAGCTCTCCTTCCTTCAGGACCGAGATACTGATGGAGTGGTGAATTTTGCCAGGAACGGTTGTTTGAGTACAGAAAAAATGTTAATACTTCTGCTCTTCCTGCCCTGCCCCCCCCACCAAACAGAAATGCTGCCCCCTCCCCTCTAGAGGTGGGAAAGGACTTATTTTTTTTCTGTCTGGAAATGCTCTGAGACTCAAGTCACTGAACTTAGGAGTGACCACTGTCATAGGCCAATGGCACTGCAGGCGCCAGTGGTGGTTTAAGAGAGAATTGGACAAATTCATGGAGGAGAGACCTATCAAGGGGTGCTGGCCATGATAGCTATGCAGTCACGCTTCTGACTCTCAGGGCTTACCTTTCCTCCCCTCTTTCCAGTGTTAAAACCAAGGGGGGGGGGAAATTGCAACACCTTCTATTTTCCCTTATCAAACAAGCACAGCCTGCGATTTAAAGCTCCGTGTCTGAGTGCCCACCCTCTTTTTGCTCTAGAGCTTTCCCCGCGAACACCCACCCTTTAAATCTCATTCAGAGCAAGCGTCAATCCGCTGAAAAGCCAAATTGATGTTTTCTCCGATTCAGCTTTAAAGAATGGGTATTTGCAGGGAAAGTTTGGGGCAAAAACAAACCAACCCTGCTCTGAAACAGACCTCTGCCTGGAAATAGGGGTGGGGGTGGGGATTTAAGTAAGAATAATCCTCCAGTTGTTCAGAATTGCAAGTGGGGAGCGAGTTGCTGTTATGTTCAGCTCCTTCTTGCAACATTCCCTTTAGGGCATCTGGTTGAGCAATGTAAGAACAGGATGTTGGACTAGCTGGGCCACTGACCTGGTCCATCAGGATCTTATATTCTTGTGGAACCTCCAGGTCCACAGGCAGTCTGTCCAGAATCTTAAGTTCTTAGGAGCCTTTGGCCACTGTGAAAATGGGATACTGGGCTAGATGAAACTCCTTTTCGCCTGATCCAGACCCTTCATACATTATTTCAACTGCTCCAACTTTGTCTCATTTCCTGAGAGCCAGTGTGGTGTAGTGGTTTAGAGTGGTAGACTCGTAATCTGGTGAACCGGGTTCGATTCCCCGCTCCTCCACATGCAGCTGCTGGGTGACCTTGGGCTAGTCACACTTCTCTACGGCCATACTACCCTGAACACGCCTGATCTCGGAAGCTAAGCAGGGTCAGGCCTGGTTAGTACTTGGATGGGAGCACACTTCTCTGAAGTCTCTCAGCCCCACTCACCTCACAGAGTGTTTGTTGTGGGGGAGGAAGGGAAAGGAGAATGTTAGCTGCTTTGAGACTCCTTCGGGTAGTGATAAAGCGGGATATCAACGCCAAACTCTTCTCTGAGGAAGGATAGGCCAGGATGTGACCGGTGCCACACGAACAACCATTCAACTTTCCTTATTGCCTACCTCTCAGAGCGCTCCGCCTTTGGCCTCCTTCTGGCCCCAGCTGTTTGACCCTCCTGCCTATGCCAAGGCAGCTCCACCCTGGTCCCCCTGAGCCTCTGTGTGCTGTAGAGCCAGGTCATGAGGAACTGGGGCCTTGATCAGAAGGCCTCTCTGAGGCAGCTGCACCTCCCTTTCAGGTGGGGGTCACCATGCAAGGCTTCAAGGCCAGTGTCCAGGGTCTCCCATAAGCCTCTGGGATGGAGAGGCTGTGTGCTGGCTACTGCCAGGGACCAGGCGCTGGCCTTCAGAGGGCCTTGCAACGGAGCAGGCAGGCTTCAGCTGGAACATGATGCTGGAAATTATCTGGAGGAGCAACCCTTCAAACTGCCCCATCTGTGTGTTGCCTTGGGAAGCACTGAATGGGCAGAGGGCCCACCTGCCTGTAGGTGTCGCTGCTGCCTCACTTCCTAGGGGCTCTGCCTGGTGCCTTTTCTGTGTATGGTGGTGGCATCAGTGGGGTGGGGCGGGCAAAGGCTCTATGGGCCCAGATTACAAGCCAGTGCCAGGCTGTGTGTGCTTGGAGGCAGGGGGCCTTGGAGAGGCAGTCCTTTTGATCCCCCTCCCCACTGTCTTTCAGCCAAGAAGCTGTTGGGAAGCCTTCCCAGCCTTCCCTCCTTAGTCAAGTGGGTGGCGGGGGGGGGGGGAGGCTTTGCCTGAACCGAGCAGGGGGAAAGCTGAGTTTTCCCATTCAATGGGACGTTCCTGCCAGACCAAGCCAAACAAAGTACAAAAGAAGTGAAGTTCCCTCCTGGGGGAGCAGGGTGGAGAGCTGCAGCCCTGAAATGCTGAGCTTATTTATGCTGGATTAAGTGGATCGGTTCAGGGTGGGGGTGTGGAGGAGAAGGAAGATGGGGAGAGACAGAGAGACTCACTCTTGCGAAGAGAGGAGGTGATTGTGTCTGCTGGCCTGCTGGGCTCCATGGATGTGGGACAGAGCCTTCTCTGCCTCCCTCCCAACATAAGAGCAGCAGCCTGCTGGGTCAGGCAAATGGACCATCTCATCCCTCATCCTGTTCTCACACTGGGGAGCTTGCAAGCTGGACATGAGCACATGAGCACTCTGCCCACTTGCAGTTCCTGGCAGCTGCTTTTCTGAGGCACAGTGGCATCTTGGCTAGCAACCACTGATAGCTGTATCCTCATCCCATGGTGGTCCAATCCTTTTTTAAAGCTTTGGAGTACAATTTCCATCAGCACCAGCCAGTGCAGTCTTAAAAGTTCAGCATTGCTATGCTGTCTGGGGCTGATGGGAATTGTAGTCCGGAGCATATGGGGGTGGGAAAATGCCATGCACCCAGCAGGGATGGGCAATGCTCTAATAAACCCCCTAAGGCAGGCCATCCTTTCCCTGAGCTGGGATCTACAAAGCCTTAAAACTTTACTGACGCACTTCAAAGAGCAACTGGGCCAGGAACAAAGTCTTGGGAGAAGATGCCCTTTGAAGGCTCAAGTTTTGATCTCTGCTGGATCCTGTTCCTCGGGTTTCTTAGCAGTTTCTTCTCACCCACTGCTAAAGGGTTGTCCTGCCATGGCTCCCACCCAGGCCTGCTTCTCCCTCTGGATTGGGGGGTGGTGGTGGTGGAGAGAGCATGCCCCAAATCCCAGAGTGCCCCTGTCAGCCCCTGTTGACAGTGCTGAGCTATATGGACCAATGGTCTGTTGCTGGATGAACCAGCTTCCTGGCTTCCCAAACTTTGCTGTTGCTTGTTTGCCTGTGTCAAATTACTTTAGGCAACTGGTCATTTCAAATTTCCATTGTATCTTCTTGTGCTGCCATTGACAGCCCTCCTCCTTCCCCCTTCCTCCTTTTCCTTTAGCCTTGTTCTTGGCTTTGACTCAAAGGGTTGACACCACCTTGGCCACCAGCTTCCTAGGTTGCCTGGAACTCTTGGCCTTACCTTGGACAACCTGTTCCACCTCATTCTGTGTAGTGCTGGTCTCTGTGGCTCATAATGCCCTCAGAGCAGATGGCCAAAGCTGAGCAACCACAGCTTTGGCCAAGTATGGATGTCAGGATTGAGCAGCCCAAGATGCAGCCTTTGTTGACTCTTGTTGGAGGTTCCCAGGAAGCTAAATCAAGGGAAGTATAGTACTGTTCTGTTCTGTTCTGTTCTGCCTTGGTCCGACTCCACTTGGAGTCTTGTGACCAGTTCTGGTCAACACAGTTTAAGGAGGAGATTGACAAGCTGAAGGTGTGGAAAACAGGATGGCCAAACTGATCAAGAATTATGAGAAATGGTGGAGAGAGTTGGGTACATTTAACCTGGAGAAGAGACGACTGAGAGGTGACACAATAGCCATCTTCAAATATCTAAAGGGTTGACCCATGGAAAATGGAACTAGCTTGTTTTCTGCTGATTCAAAGGGGAGGACCCAAACCAATGGATTCCAGTGACAATAAAGGAGATTCTGGCTCAACATCAGGAAGTTGAACGGATTACCTGAGAAGATGGTGGGCTTTCCTTCACTGGAGGTTTTTAAACAGAAGGTTGATGGCTATCCGTCAAGAATTCTTCAGCTGTGATTCCTGCACTGCGGGGCATTGGGCTAGGTGACTTTTGGGGTCCCTTCCAGCTCTACAAGCCTATGAAATCAGAACACACCAACTTACTCACCGCTCCGAAATTCCCTCCTCTCCTGAGTCTGCGTGACTTTAATCCTGTAAAGCAGATGAAGGCATCAAATCTTGTCATGCTTTCTCTCTCAGCGCATCATGCAGTTTTAATGAAAACAACATGTCTCAGGCATGGAACTGGGTGAACTTAGGTGAACCCTGAGAGGGTGCTGAATTCAAAGGAATGCGTGAACTGTGGCTCTCGTGTCACCTTGTGCTAACCTCTGCGCAGCACCCACATGTCTGACACGTGATGGAGCCCAACCCCTTTGCATTTGGAAGAGGGGATGCTGTGCTTCAAGGCTGCTGGGATAACCCCTTCAAGGGCTTTCCAGACTTTCAGCATCTAATTTCTGCAGACAGCAGCCTGAGACCGAGGTCATTTCACAGATGGCGGCTTAAAAGAAGAAGCAGCAATTCCCTCTCCACTTTCTCACAGGACCCTCCTGAGACTGCATGACTGGAGGGCCAGTGAAATGCAGAAGACCCCCAGGCTGGGGACAGTGGAAGCCAGCCTCTGCCAACATGGTGCCCTAGCAGCCATCGATAGCCTTGTTCTCCATTCATATGTCTAATCTTCCTTTAAAGCCATCCAAGTTGGTGACGGTCACAGCCTCCTGTGCAAGTGAGTTCCATAGCTGAACTATGTGAAGACATGTGTCTGTCCAATATTCAGGGCTCATTCACACCCTGCACTTTTTAGGCACAAGTCGGCACTTTCCTGGTCTGTGCTGCTTCCCTCCCCTTCCCCACCAAAAACCTGAACTGGAGCAAACAGCAATTCAGGTCAGGCACCCCCAAACTCAGCCCTCCAGATGTTTTGGGACTACAACTCCCATCATCCCTAGCTAACAGGACCAGTGGTCAGGAATGATGGGAACTGTAGTCCCAGAACATCTGGAGGGCTGAGTTTGGGAGATGCCTGATTCAGGTTTTCTGCAGACTGATGTTTGCTCCAATTCAGTGGTAAATAATAGGTTTATACACCTTGAACAGTATCCTTTTTGAGGCGCTATAGAGCGAGATGAGTGTGCAACCCCAGAGTTGTCCGTGACTGGACCTAACGGTCAGGGGTACCTTTACTTTTTAAGCAGAACTGTTCACAATATTCCAAGTACAGCCACACCATAGAATTATATAATGCCATTCTGATATTGGCAGTTTTATTTTCAGTTTCATTTCCTAATGATCCCTAGCATGGAATTCACTTTTTTTGAAGGCTGCCACACACTGGGTCAATGTCTTCATTGAATCCACCTTTGCCCCAAAATCTTGTTCCTGGTCAGTCCTGCCAATTCGAACCCTGTTAGAATATATGTTAAGTTAGGAATTTTTGCCCAAATTTAGAGCTTTGAAGACTGGATGGGGGCGGACTGGAAAAAGGGGAGAAAACAGGTATTCCCCCATTTCTTCAAAGCCCTTTTTGTCCCATTCTGTCCTTCCTGTGCCCCCCTCCCGGACATTTTGAAAAGTTTTTGGATTAAGAAACATTTTCGTTTAGAATGATGAACAAAATGTTTAAGACCAAGTTTTCATGTATTTATGCCCTCCAAATGATTTCTAAAACTGTGTAACAGTAACACATTTGTGTAAGACCATGTACTGTATTAGGGACGTGGGTGGCGCTGTGGGTTAAACCACAGAGCCTAGGGCTTGCCGATCAGAAGGTCGGCGGTTCGAATCCCTGTGATGGGGTGAGCTCCCATTGCTCGCTCCCTGCTCCTGCCAACCTAGCAGTTTGAAAGCACATCAAGTGCAAGTAGATAAATAGGTACCGCTCCGGTGGGAAGGTAAACGGCGTTTCCATGCGCTGCTCTGGTTCGCCAGAAGCGGCTTAGTCATGCTGGCCACATGACCCAGAAGCTGTACGCTGGCTCCCTCGGCCAATAAAGCGAGATGAGCGCCGCAACCTCAGAGTCGGTCATGACTGGACCCAATGGTCAGGGGTCCCTTTACCTTTAGCTATGTACTGGATCACTACAATTCCTGTACCCCAAGGACAAGCAAACCCTGAGAGTACAGCTCAAATGCAAGCGTGAGATACATTTCTGCCCTTTGGGGGGCCTTGCCATTGTGACAAGGGAAGGAAGACGGATTCAATGCTTTCTTTGTTTGTAGTCTTCCTTTTCTTGGCATAGTTGGTGGATCTCTTTCTGCCTTCTAGATGAAACCTCAAAGGACTGGGCTTGGGAGAAAGAACAAAGCAACATAATTTTATTGCCATCCGATTCATGCTCCTGAAAATCTGTCGGATCCAAGATTCAAAGCCAGGAATGTAAGTGATGACAGCACAGTTTCTTCATTTGACTGGACTACAAAACAGGCAACACATTGCAGTCTGGATGTTGGGCATGTACTTTTTAAGTGTTGCAGAGTACAGATCATCTTCATGTATTTGGTTAAGGGATGCAGTCTGGGATTCTGCCAAGCATGTCCCTCCTGCAAGACTGTGGCAAGGCCTTTGCGCAACACAACCCCTGACTCCTCTTGCTTCTTAGCTACTTCTGATTCCTCCGTCTTCTGCAGCACATGAAAGAATCTCCATTGTCCTCCTCTTGTCTTGCAGTAAGGTTTGATGGATGTTTTATGAGGCTCTCGGAGTCTGCTGGGATGTTTCTTTGGTGCCTGAAAATAAAAAGGCAACCGGATTCTTTAGAAAGGGCTGACTTTGTAGGACAGCTGTGCAGGAGATGGGTTCTTCAAATCCCAAGAATGACTAAAGCCCCGGCATTTCAATGGGATATTCTTGGCTTTGGAGAAGAAACAGCAGACCTCTCTCTCTCCGCCTTTCTCTTTAAAAGTGGTGTTTGGAAGCTGTCTTTCAATGAACAACACTGAGCTTGCTGTACCCTTATTGCTCCTCTTGGCTCCACCCAGCTTGAACAGTGAGGAGAGTTGTGATACATGAAAAATGAAAAGTGAACTGTGTATATGATAAAGGGGAACCATACCGCGGTAAAGGCGTCTTCTTCTGTTTGTCCCTGTGCCAGTTTCAGTTTACAGTGGTACCTCGGGTTACATATGCTTCAGGTTACATACGCTTCACGTTACATACTCCGCTAACCCAGAAATAGTGCTTCAGGTTAAGAACTTTGCTTCAGGATGAGAACAGAAATCGTGCTCCGGCGGTGCAGCAGCTGCAGGAGGCTCCATTAGCTAAAGTGGTGCTTCAGGTTAAGAACAGTTTCAGGTTAAGTTACGTACCTCCAGAACGAATTAAGTACTTAACCTGAGGTACCACTGTATTGGTTAATTTTTGTAGCAGGGCTGTTTCCCATACTATTTGGTACCATTGGTCCATGCTTACTTCTGACAGGTCTCTCCAATGTCTGGTTATGGTGTTTCACCCACCCACCCCACTCACTCACACACGGAAACAAAGATCACCACAGCCAGTCACAAACAACCACACCCTAGGCCAACTCCAACCTCTCTTACCACCAAAGAAACACAAATGAACAGCAGAGAACCTGCACGGGCAACACTGACACCAAACCCTACATACATTAAGCAAAATAGATACATCGCCACCCAACCCCACCCCTCTTCCCCTCTCCCCCCCTAATGTCTCAACAAATGAAACTGATTTGTAAAAATGTTACATGGAAAAAATACGAGAGACATTACAAATACTTCTGTAAAACAAGAAAATCTTTAATAAAAAACAACAACAACAAAAATATGAAAAGTGAGGCTTGGCAGTGCTGGGCAGTCTGCCTCCTCACTGTGCCCCTAGAACTGACGTTCCGGTAACACTTTCATTTGACATTCAGTTGTGCCCTTCCTGCCAAAGACATGCTGGCAGCTGGGGGTTTTAAAGTGACAAAAAGAAAGAAAGAAAGAGAAGAAAGCGCTTTACCTGCAAAAGAGCTGCCCAGGTGCTTCTGATGCTGCTGAGACAGGTGTTGCCATCTGCCAGGGCAGGCGATGTGGGATAAATGAGCCTCATACAACCAACATGCTTAACCCTAATTAATGCACGAAGGGGTTAAGACCATAGAGTAAGCTGTTCTGCCAGACTTAGATAGGCCACACCCCCTCACCTTGAGAAGAAGGTTAGCAAATGCTTTGTTTTCTCACTTCCACCATGTGAACCCTACCTGTAAAGGTAAAGGTAAACCGACTCTGGGGTTGCAGCACTCATCTTGCTTTATTGGCCGAGGGAGCCGCTGTATAGCTTCTGGGTCATGTGGCCAGCATGACTAAGCCATGGTCTGGCGAACCAGAGCAGCACACGGAAATGCTGTTTACCTTCCCGCCGGAGCGGTACCTATTTATCTACTTGCACTTTGACGTGCTTTCGAACTGCTAGGTTGGCAGGAGCAGGGACCGAACAACGGGAGCTCACCCCGTCACGGGGATTCGAACTGCCGACCTTCTGATCAGCAAGTCCTGGGCTCTGTGGTTTAACCCACAGCGCCACCTGCGTCCCAACCCTACCTGTAAGGAGGCCTAAGTTAGATACTTGGACTGCATGGCTTAAGCAAGCCACTTTTATGTTTCTATACAAATAATTTAGACATAATTTAGTGCCCTAGTTTAATGTGAAGAAAAACTTGCTTTTAGCTGTCCTAAATATTCTCTCTCTGTGTGTGCCTTTCCTGTCGTGTGTGGGCAAGGAGGTTCTTGAGTAACCCCCAGTTTTTCTTCCACATTTTGTGGTGCCCAGGGCGTTTTTTCAGATCTCCAGATCATAGCTGTCAAGTGTTCCTTATTTGAAGGGACAGTCCCTTATTCCAGCGCCATGTCCTGCTGCTGTCCCTTATTGATGGATGTCCCTTAAATGTCCCTTAAATGATGTCCCTTAAATTTCAAAGGAAGCAGCTCCTCTCCCTCCCTCCCTGCTGGTCAGGGAGGAGGGAGGCTCCAACTGTGTTGCTTGGCTGTGTTGCTCACCCAATAAGAAGTCTAAGAACGACTGGGGGGTGGAGCTTGCATGCCTTGTGTGTGGCTAGTTAATGCAAGCTGAGGAGGTTTTTGAATGCTGGACGCCATTTTGTTGCACGTGCTGCTGCAAACTTTGCAGTGCAAAGCCAGGCCGGGAGCCATCTTAAGTTGAGGCTGCATAGGCCTTGTGGTGCATGTGATTCAGATTCTATTCAGTTGAACCTCTGGTTACAAAGTTGGTTGGACAGTGTTCTCGAAGCTACCAGCATGAGTTTGACCAGACTGTAGGAGGACAGAAAGACTGGACTGCCTGGAACAGGTGAGGCTGCAGGTCCCTTATTTTGGCTGCTGGTCCCTTATTTTCAAGGCTGCTGGTCCCTTATTTTCAAATCTGTAAGTTGACAGCTATGCTCCAGATGTGCACCTGGTCCCTCAAAGGTTGTCGACTCCTGGCTGGAAGGAGCACACCTGGTTTCTCTCAGCAGATAATGAGACACAAGAAGCTTGCATTTTCTTGTGGCTCTTGGTCCATGTGTGGTCCATGCATTTGATTGCTAGATGCCTTCCCTGCCTTTTGCCCAAACAAATGCTTTAAGGCAGTTTCCAGCAAATATATGAAGTATTCAGGAAAGCACCCTTGGCAGGTTCTGGGTGGTGTGCTCTCCACTTCTCCTGGGGCTAGTCTGGGAAAGGATGGTGGGTGGCCTCCTTGTGCTAACACTCACTAGCTGTGAGGCCCTGAAGGTCTGGTGATCCTGCTGAGTTGAAGGAGAGGCAGCCTTTCAGGTGGGGCAGGAAGAGCTTGGGGCTACTATTTTAATACTTACATCCTCTCATTGCCATTCCTGGTAACACAGAAACATTAAAACATCAGAACCAAAGAACATTTTGGGTCTGTTCTTGGGGGACAGGGGGCGGGCTGGTGTGGAAGACTTCCTGGTTCTGAATAGGGTAACTGTGCCCCTGAAGGACCAGGTGTGCAGCCTGGGAGTCATTTTGGACTCTCAGCTGTCCATGGAGGCAAAGGTCAATTCTGTATCCAGGGCAGCTGTCTACCAGCTCCATCTGGTACACAGGCTGAGACCCTATCTGCCCACAGACTGTGTTGCCACAGTGGTGTATGCTCTAGTTATCTCCTGCTTAGACTACTGCAATGTGCTCTATGTGGGGCTGCCTTTGAAGGTGACCCGGAAACTACAACTAATCCAGAATGCGGCAGCTAGACTGGTGACTGGGGGCAGCTGCCGAGACCACATAACACCCGTCTTGAAAGACCTACATTGGCTCCTAATATGTTTCCGAGCACAATTCAAAGTGTTGGTGTTGACCTTTAAAGCCCTAAACGGCCTCAGCCCAGTATACCTGAAGGAGCGTCTCCACCCCCATTGTTCAGCCTGTACACTGAGGTCCAGAACCGAGGGCCTTCTGGCGGTTCCCTCACTGCGAGAAGCAAAGCTACAGGGAACCAGACAGAGGGCCTTCTTGGTAGTGGCGCCCCCCCGTGGAACTCCCTCTCACCAGATGTCAAAGAGATAAACAACTACCTGATATTTAGAAGACATCTGAAGGCAGCCCTGTTCAGGGAAGTTTTTAATGTGTGACATTTTAATGTATTTTTAAGCTTTGTTGGAAGCCTCCCAGAGTGGCTGGGGAAACCCAGCCATATGGGCGTGGTACAAATAAGAAAATTATTATTATTATTATTATTATTATTATTATTATTATTATTATTATGAGACCAGGGGCCCAGCTAGATACCCACAAGCAGTTCTTAATGTTATGAGAGAGGGAGAATAACTTTTCTCGGTCTACTTTATCCATGTTAGGCATGATTTTCTAAACTTCTTTCATGTCACCCCTTACCCACAGTGTTCAAAATTAGCCAGGCACCAGGTTCATTTTGCACCTGGCTTTCAATCACTTGCAACCAAGTGAAGATGCCTGGGGGCCAGGATGACACCTGGAATCTCCACCATCTGGGGACCGTTGGATCGGCCCAGTTTTCACAGCCTAATCCTGCAGAATTCTATCAATTATATTTTATCTGCCCAGTTGGAATGAATTTCTGCAGCCCAAATGCTTTTTCTGTGCAGCGTGATTCATGATTAAGAGAAAGAGGTCAGAACAGGCCTGTTGGACTGTCCTTGGCTCAAGTGGCTTTTCTTCTTTAAGTTCTCAATGCTCTTAACCTAGCTCAAGATTGTGCTCTGAACTAGCGAGATGTTTAACTGAGAATCAATCACGGTCAGTCCATCATTTGGGGGGAAAAAGACTCTAGAGCCGTCTTGCCTCCTAGACATTCCGTTTTGGTGACTGCAAATTTGGTTTAAGGAGCCGTTTGGTGCCTTGCTTACCGTATTTTTCGCCCCATAGGACGCGCCCAGATTTCCCCTTCATTTTTGGAGGGGGAAAAGTGCGTCCTATAGGGCGAAAAATACGGTATATATCTGAGTTTGTAACACTGCTTACCCAGGCTTTGGGCACGTGGTGCCCTGTATCTCTGCCCTCTGCCTCTCTGAGCCGCTTCTCTATGTTCTCCTCCTTGCCTGCAGACAAGATGTTGCACACCTGGGCTGCTTCTTCCTCACTGACCACCCAGGACTTCCACACCTGGCGGATCCCTGTGGATTGTGTCCGCGCCAACGAGCTGTGTGCGGCTGAGCCCAGCTGCAGCTCCCGTTACCGCACGCTGCGCCAGTGTGTGGCCGGGCGTGACCGCAACACCATGCTGGCCAACAAGGAGTGCCAGGCAGCGCTGGAGGTGCTACAGGAAAGTCCCCTCTACGACTGCCACTGCAAGCGCGGGATGAAGAAGGAGCTCCTGTGCCTTCAGATCTACTGGAGTATCCACCTTGGCTTGACAGGGGGTAAGTACCTTCCTGGCTAGCAGGGGTGTGCATGTGTGAAACTGAGTTGATCTTTGAGAACTGGGATGGATTGCTGCAATGCGCTCTACGTGAGGCCGCCCTTGTGCTTCATCTAGAGCAGGCCTCCCCAAACTTGGCCTTCCAGATGTTTATGTTTTGGGACTACAACTCCCATCATCCCTAGCTAACAGGACCAGGGTGTCAGGGATGATGGGATTTGTAGTCCCAAAACATCTGGAGGGCCGAGTTTGGGGGTGCCTGATCTAGATGCTGCAGCAAGACTGCTGGCGGGAGTGAAGCCCTTCACCAGATGGAATACAGTAGTACCTCTAGATGCGAACAGGATCCGTTCCGGAGCCCCGTTCGCATCTAGAAGCAAACGTAACCCGTGTCCTCGTGTCTGCGCGTGCGCGGGTCACGTTTTGGCGCTTCTGCGCATGATGTCATTTTGAGCGTCTGCGCATGCGCAAGCGGCGAAACCCAGAAGTAACACGCTCCGTTACTTCCGGGTTGCCGCAGAGCGCAACTCGAACGCGCTCATCCCGAAGCACATTCAACCCAAGGTATGACTGTACACAGGACATGAAAAAATAATTACCTTTCGCTTTAAGAGATCATTTTTTAAAAAACAAAACAGAAAGAAATCAGTGCCTAAAATGGCTAGTAAGCCTCTCCTTGTAAGCAGGTGAAGGAATAATTCAGGGAGTACAGTTTCAAACAGTTACGGACAGCTTAGCCACAGTAGCTCATGCACCAGTTATTTCATGGATGAGACTGCATTGCACTCTATGTGGGGCTTCCGTTGTGCTTGATCTGGAAGCTGCAGTTAGTGCAGAATGCCGCAGCACGATTGCTGACGGGAGTGACGCCTTGTCAGCACAGAACACCTTTGCTCAGAGATCTGTACTGGTTGCCAGCTTGCTACTGGGCCAAGTTCAAGGTGTTGCTATTAGTATATAAAGCCCTTAACAACTTGGGACCGGTTCACTTGCGAGATCGCCTCACCCATATCCACCAACACGACCGCTTCAATTGGCAGCACTGGCATTGTGAAAAGTACAGTGAAGACGCCAGCCTGATTTCAAGAGGCGGGGAGTTCCAAAGAACCAAACGATTTGAGTTCTTATAAATGCATAACGGGTATTACATGGCACCTGTACCAGTGCCAGTTGTGCAAGTCTGCATCTCGTTCTTCAATGGGAGAATCCCAGGGAAGCCTAGACCAAGCTTCCTTTGAAGAGAGGCTGGATAAGGTTTACTGCTGTATGGACTTGGTTAAGATTGTAGGCTTTTCAAGCACATCTTCCAAGCCATGTGACCTTGCTGGCTGCTCTTGAAGCTGCTGCTTTAGCAGACCAGGTGTGCTCCCTTTCCCATGCCTTCTTTACCTGGCTACACCTCTTCCCCTTCCCCACCCAGTGGAGAACAAACCCTGCAAAGAAACCAAATTGAAAGGGGCTTACTTCTATGTTGCTGCAGGCAGCGAGGGGTATGAAAAAGGAAGGGGCAAAATATGGTTTGCTGTCCCTCTAATGGGCTGCCCAAGGCCCCTGTCCCCCTTGGCACTCCCTGCAATCCAGACTTGCAGTGCCATGGCAAATTCTGAAGTGCAGGAGCTCATCAGGAGAGCCCCACATATCCCTGCACCCCACAGCGTGTCCAGGAATGCAGGTAATGGTGTTGATCCATTACGATGCACACATATCAGCAATCTAACTGGGTGTAAGATCCATGGAACTCTGTGCAGTTACAGGGAACCAGACAGAAGGCCTCCTCTGTAGTGGCGCCCGCCCTGTGGAACGCCCTCCCTTCAGATGTGAAGGAAATAAGCAGCTATTTCCTCTTTAAAAGACATCTGAAGGCAGCCCTGATTAGGGATGTTTTTAATATTTAATGCTGTATTGTTTTTAACACTCGATTGGAAACCGCCCAGAGTGGCTGGGGAAACTCAGCCAAATGGGCGGGGTATAAATAATAAATTATTATTATTATTATTATTATTATTATTATTATTATTATATATTATTCCTGATTGCAGAGGTTCAATGTGCAAAACACATCGAGATTTCGCAAAAGATCTCCAGCCAGCTGAAATGCAGCCTTTGGCCTTTCACTGGAAATGCGAAGAATCTTGCAAAGATTTCTGCACCAGAGTGGGTTGGACCAGATGATCCAGGGAGAGGGGGTACCTTTCGGCTCTTACAATTCTGTGATTCTAGGTGTTACCATTTAAACTTTTAGCATGAAGTAGGGACCCTGCCAATGAAAAAGAAGGCAGTACCCAGCCTCTGTGTGACATTTACCTCATTATCTCAGTTTTTCTATGTTAATCTGTCACAAACAAACTAGCCTAGGAAGGTGCAGCAGCTATAAGTAAACTGGCAGGAGGAGGGAGGAAATCATTGGTGAAAAGGGGGGGTGCTCTGTTGATGGATGCACCCCATTTTACACATATAAGATCTGTGGCACAGTTTCCTGTTTCCAGCAAATGCAAGTCCCTGGGCATATTTCTCTGCACTACAGGCAAAGGATAGTTTGCAAATAGCAAGACCTGCCAACCTGTTCAAAGTGTTGCCCCTGACCAAAGTTCCTCTTTCCTCCTGGAAGGAGCCCAGCTGAGCTCCCCACCCACCCACAAGGCTGCTCCCGTTCCACCTTGGTGCTTCCCCCCAGAGGCTATTTCTGCCTCCTCCAGCTCAGGGGAAGTCCACTGCTCTTTTGATGCAAGGCAATTTTCCTAGCGAGGGGCAAAGTTTTTCAGATACCTAATTACTTATGGCCCTGGCGAGGCGATATAGAAAAAGAAGCAGCTGAAGCACCTGAATTGTGAATGTGTGATTTGTCATTGCAAGTCCAGCGAGGGGCAAATGCAAAGCTGTGTCCTGTCAGAGCTGCCCATGGAGAGACAAAGCTTTGATTCCACGCCAGCAATTCTCCAGCTTCATGAGAGTCAACCGGAGGCAGAAGCAAGGCTAGCCACTTAATCGATTTCATAGAATTGCTGAGTTGGAAGGGACCCTAAGGGTCATCCAGCCCAACCCCCCTGAGGTCCAGGAATCTCATTTAAAGTATCCCTGGCAAATGGTTATCCAACCTCAGCTTAAAAACCTCCGAGGAAGGAGAGTCTGCCTCCTCTTGTGGGAGTCTGTTCCACTGCTGAACGGCTCTTACCTCTGAATCAGACCAAACAGCAACTGAGTTTTCCATGGATTGCTGTTTGTTCCAATTCAACGGTAAAGAGCATTTTTCCAGGGGAGCTGTGGGGAAATGCAAAACCGTTTGGACCTGTGCCTAGAAAGCATGGGAGAAGTAGAAAAGCACTCAGACCCGAGCTTTTAAAGCACCGGACAAGCAGGGGTGTGGACAAGCCCTAACTGGCAGCAGCGCTCCAGGATTTCGGGGAGGAGGTGTCTCCCAACCCTTCCTGGACATTCCAGGGATTGAACCTGGGACCTTCTACATGCAAGGCAGCTGCTCTGCCACTGAGCTATGGCTGACAGACACCAGGACTTTCCTTACTTGCTCCCCCTTTGCACACTTAGATGTAAGTCAGAGCCTCTTTAAAGGTAAAGGGACCCCTGACCATTAGGTCGAGTCACGGACGATTCTGGGGTTGCGGCGCTCATCTTGCGCTTCTGGCGAACCAGAGCAACTCACAGAAATGACATTTACCTTCCCACCAGAGTGGTACCTATTTATCTACTTGCACTTTGACATGCTTTTGAACTGCTAGGTTGGCAGGAGCTGGGACCGAGCAACAGGAGCTCACCCCGTTGCGGGGATTCGAACCGCCGACCTTCTGATCGGCAAGTCCTAGGCTCTGTGGTTTAGACCACAGTGCTACCCATGTCCCCGGAGCCTCTTTGGGCACATTCAAATGACCGCTTCCTCCGCATCCAGTGCACTCCCACTGCTAAATTTAGAAGCCGCGTTCACACGATGTTAGCCACGATCCGTTTCAGTCCTGCTGTTCCTTAACAAATGCTGCTGTTTCTGAAGCCAACTTCAATCCGATTAGGAAACTGGGTGCAGAGTCAGCGGTCGGGCGAATGTCTGGCCATCCTGCATGCGCAGACAACAGCTTCGTAAATAGGAATTGTCAGGGTGGGAAACTGAAAAGGTCCTGAGATGATTGATAGATAGATAGATAGATAGATAGATATAGATATAGATAGATAATTTATTACGGTCAGAGACCAGCTTATAAAACACACTTGGGGTACAATCCCAGAAGGAAAACAAACATTTAAAATAATGTACAACAATAAAATTAAAATTTATAAATGCAATACAGTGGTGCCTCGCAAGACGAAATTAATTCGTTCTGCGAGTTTTTTCGTCTTGCGAATTTTTCGTCTTGCGAAGCACGGTTTCCCTGGGTATTAACGGTTTTAAGAAAAAGGAAACAAACTTGCAAGACGTTTTCGTCTTGCGAAGCAAGCCCATAGGGAAATTCGTCTTGCGAAGCAACTCAAAAAACGAGAAACTATTTCGTCTTGCGAGGCATTCGTCTTGCGAGGTACCACTGTAAGCGTATAGACACTTAAAACTTTAAGATAAGCTACTGCAGAGAGTTGATCCAGAGTCACCCATGGAACCGAGTATGGGGATTTTCTTAATGAACTAGTTTGGGTTGGGGGATGGTCTGCGCTTACAGATCTATACACAGAATCTGCCGACCATCGTTCAGGCATCCCAACCCTCCACTTCCTGATGGGAACGATCCTCTGTAAATGCAACTTGGAACTCTGTGGGCGGGTGGGAAACGACCTTGCTGCGTCTCAAGTCGGATTGCAGGGGGTTGGGCTCAATGACGCCTCTACAGCTCTAGGATTTTCGTGTGAACCTCCCCTTAAGGCTCTGTCTTTCCCTTCCCGGGCTCCCGTTCCCTATTGAGAAAGGAGAGAAGCAACCTGTGTGAGAAGCGTGCCCTTGAAAAGCAGCCTCTGTGCACGGGGGCAGCTGAGCTCGCCTGGCAATGGGGAACAATCCCCAGTACTGTAATGAAATGCATTTGTAACTGTCCAGCCAGGCGCTCCCGTGGTGGGGGCTGACCCTTCCTGGAGTGCTCCTGGCTTGCTAATAACCTTGTGTTTGAGCAGCTGAGCTTCTTAATTACAAGAGAGGAGGGGGGCAGCTGCCACCATCACCTCCTCCTCCTGCAGGCTGAGAATATCTTCTGTGAGTAAGCAGCCCAGGAGGAACCTGGGAGGGAGGTCTTCTCCTCCTCCACCACCAGAGTCTTTCCATCCTTTGAGCTTGTTTTGCAACTCCTGATCGCAAAGGGTGGAACAAGTAAATCAGGGGTTGGCAACCTAAGGCCCATGGGCCACAAGCAGCCCACGGGGGTCATTTAATTGGCCCCCGAGCCGCCCCCGAACTGAGCCACCCGCTCAGTGAGTCCCCACACACTGCACTAAGCGAGTGTGGCGCAGGGACTCGCTTCTGCGTTGCTGGAAATTGCATCTGCATGTGCATGCACTCACACACACACACACGCAATCCAGCCTACAGAGGGATCTCTGCTGGAGTGAACCGGCCCAGGTGAGGTAAACCTTACCGACCCCTGAAGTAAATGATCAAGGGTCTGGAAACGAAGCCTTAGGAGGAGGAACAGTTGACACTACCCGGACACTGAGGTCCAGCGCCCAGGGCCTTCTGGCAGTTCCCTCACTATGAGAAGCCAAGTTACAGGGTACCAGGCAGAGGGCCTTCTCGGTAGTGGTGCCCTCCCTGTGGAAAGCCCTCCCACCAGATGTTAAAGAGATAAACAACTACCAGACTTTTAGAAGACATCTGAAGGCAGCCCTGTTTAGGGAAGCTTTTAATGTTTGATTCATTGCTGTATTTTAATATTTTGTTGGAAGCCGCCCAGAGTGGCTGGGAAATGAATGAATGAATGAATGAATAAATAAATAAATAAATAAATAAATAAATAAAAGAAGAGTTATTTAGCCTGGAGAAGGGAAGGCTGACAGGTGACATGATAGCCATCTCCAGATACCTGAAGGGCTGTCATATGCAGGATGGAGTAATCTTGTTTTCTGCGGCTCCAGAGGGGAGGACCTGAACCAATGGATCCAATTTAAGGGAAGGAGATTCCGACTAAATCATAGAAAGAACTTTTTGGTGGCAGGAGCTCTTTGCCTGTGGAACAGACTACTTCAGAAGGTGGCGGGCTCTCCGTTGTAGGGTGCTCGCTTTGGCAGCACATATACCATGGGTTAAACCACAGAGCCTAGGACTTGCCGATCAGAAGGTCGGCGGTTCAAATCACCGCGACGGGGTGAGATCCCGTTGCTCGGTCCCTGCTCCTGCCAACCTAGCAGTTCGAAAGCATGTCAAAGTGCAAGTAGATAAATAGGTACCGCTCCAGTGGGAAGGTAAACGGCGTTTCCGTGCGCTGCTCTGGTTCGCCAGATGCAGCTTAGTCATGCTGGCCACATGACCCGGAAGCTGTCTGCAGACAAACGCCAGCTCCCTCGGCCAGTAAAGTGAGATGAGCGCCGCAACCCCAGTCGGCCACGAATGGACCTAATGGTCAGGGGTCCCTTTACCTTTATACTAAAATTGGAACAATACAGAGAAGACTCTCCTTTGTAGGAGGTTTTTAAACAGACGGTGGATGGTCAGGGATTCTTTAGCTTTGATTCCTGCATTGCAGAGGATTGGACTAGATGGCCTTTGGAGTTCCTTCCAACTCTAAAATTCTATGGTTTAAAGTGGCGTTGGGACTAAGAGCTGCTGAAATCCATGGTTTAAACTGTGGCTCCCCCTCCTCTGGATTGCTTCCGTGCCCCTCTGGTCTGGTGTGTGAATCACGGTCACCCCAGGGCTTCAGAGGCGAATTGGGAAGCCAAGGGCTCCCGAATGCATCTGAAATGCCTTGCCTGAGCAGCTTCAGGGGCTGTTCAATCAAGCTACTTAGGCTCTTGATGCTTAGAACTGTCCATGTTAAAATAGCCTTTGCCTCTTTCATCCTTGCAACAACCCTGTGAGGCTGTCAGTCCTGCTTCATAGGTCAGATATCAAGAAAAAGGGGGCAAGAGAGCTTCATCTGGAGAAAAGTGTTTGTGAGCTGAATCTGATTTCACAGATCAGCTAAGGCCAACCCATGATAGCTACTGAGCCACATCACCCTTTTATCCAATCAGTGGAGGTGGTGCTGTTATAGCTGCCATGCAATACTCATTCCACATTTGCAAGAAGTTGGTATTTTAGTACACTCTGGAACTCTCTGCCTATTGACATCAGACAGTCTTCACTGTCCTCTTTTTGGTGCCTGTTAAAAACATCCTTGTTTAGACAAACCTGCCCGGATCTTTAGAAAGTTGGTGTGAGTTTTAATCTGTGCTTAGTCTATTGTCATTTTAAATTCTCCAAAGCCTTAAATTGTTGTTGTTAATTTTTCTGATTAGCAATGCTATTGATTCAGGTTTTTGGTAAACTGCTTTGAGTTTGTTTTTACAAGAAACAAATCGCAGATTAACAGGGATCCAGGGATCTGTAGCTCTCTGCCCCCGCCCCATGCAAAAGCAAAAGGACATTATGAGTTTCTAAGAGTCTCCCTTTCTCCTCCTTCTCATTCCAGGAGAAGAGTTTTATGAAGCTTCCCCCTACGAACCAGTCACCTCTCGTCTCACTGATATATTCAGACTCGCTTCAATTGTCTCAGGTAAGAGAGGCCAAGGGAAAAAGGCTTCCTGGCCATTTCCGTTTGCTGTTTTCTATCCAGGAGAACCAACATCTCCTTGCTCCTCTCTCCTGGGAGTTCAGGGATGTATGTACACATGGCACTTTAAAGCGGATCTGGTTCATCCCATCAGGGCCAGCCCTACAATGAGGCAGAATGAAGCAGCTGCCTCAGGCGGCGGATGCTGAGGTGCGGCAGGGAGTGAACAGAGCTGTGATTGCCACATGACCTGCCCTGTAGCCCCTAGGCTAGCCTTTTGCCCTTGAGGGTAGTTGTTTCACCAGTATTAAAGTAGGATTCAACTACCAGTCCAGTTGGCTTCAGGACGGGCCTTGGAGGAGGGCGCCATTTTGTTTCTCGCCTCAGACAGCAAAATGTCTTTTCCTTAACTACTGTTTTGTGCATGTCTGCTATATTGGAAACTTGTATCTTGAAAATGATTTAGAAATTGGCTGGGTGCACAGTGGGCCTCGAGTTTCCAGAACTCAGGGCAGGTGGGGAGGCCCACAGGCAGTGCAAAGGCATCCCATCCTGAGAAACATGGAGATGTTCAACGGAGAGTGTTGTGTGCGAGCAAATGCTCACAAGAGAAATTGGATGTGTGCAACTTTTGAATATGCTGTGTGCCTGGGACAGAGAAGGGCTCCTTCTCCTCTCCTCCTTCTCCCCGTGGCAGCTCCAGGGTTTTCCTGGCCCCGGAGCACCACTGGGCAGTCAGACAGGTGCTCTCACTCCCGGCTCGATTTGGGTCGCGGGGGGTGGTCAGCGGTTCCCCCAGTTGACGCACTGGGTGTCCCCGGTTCCCCTTTGGTAGTGGCAGCGGCGGCAGCGGCAGTCTCAGCAGCCAGGAGCCAGCCTGGTAGTGCAGTTGGCTCTGGCTGGCTTCAGGAGCTGCTTGCTGCCATGGCGCCCACCATTTTGCCTCACCGGAAGTCCCCATATGATGTGTCTTGTGCCGTTGAACCAATCACGCAACATTCATTCCCTACTAATAAATCTACAAGGGATGCGGGTGGCGCTATGGGTTAAACCACAGAGCCTAGGACTTGCTGATCAGAAGGTCGGCGGTTCGAATCCCCGTGACAGGGTGAGCTCCCGTTGCTCGGTCCCTGCTCCTGCCAACCTAGCAGTTCGAAAGCACATCAAAGTGCAAGTAGATAAATAGGTACCGCTCCGGCGGGAAGGTAAACAGCGTTTCCGTGTGCTGCTCTTGTTTGCCAGAAGCGGCTTAGTCCTGCTGGCCACATGACCCAGAAGCTGTACATCGGCTCCCTTGGCCAATAAAGCGAGATGAGCGCCGCAACCCCAGAGTTGGCCACGGCTGGACCTAATGGTCAGGGGTCCCTTTACCTTTACCTAATAAATCTACAACACTTTAAATATAAATCTGGGGAAATTCCGGGGACAGATTTGAAAATCTGGGGACTGTCCCCGGGAAACGAGGATGTCTGGTAACCATAGATTAGACACCACGGCTCAGCTCTGCCATCGCAGTTGGAGGCAGCAGTGCTTCTGAATCTCAGTTGCTGGAGACCCCAGGAGGAGAGAGGGCTCTTGTACTCAGGTCCTGCTTGTAGGTTTCCCACAGGAATCTGGTTGCCCATTGCAAGAAGAGGATGCAGGGCTAGATTGGCCATTGGCCTAATCCAGCAGCCTCTTCTAATGTGTGTGACCTGCCTTGGTCTTCCTCCTGTGACATCCAGACGTCCCCCAAAACAAGTCTGTTGGATGGGTGAGCATTGACATTATACATCTGTTAACACCTGATCCTGCTTAATAATAATAATAAGAAGAAGTTTTATTTATACCCCGCCCTCCCCAGCCAAGACCGGGCTCAGGGCGGCTAACACCAGATACAAAAGCAATTGATTGAACTACAACTTAAAAAACAAGATTAAAATACAACATTAAAATACAGCCTCCTTTTAGTAAAACTCAAATCAAAAACTTTTTGGGGGATGAAAGCGCCAAGGCTAACTATCCAGACTGGCCCTACATGGGCCAGAAAAAAAGCCAGGGAAGTCCCCAAACAGGAGTTCCATCACAAAAGGAGAAAGGAAAAAAAGAAAGGGAGGAGGGAATCAAATGAATTCCAAGCCAAAGGCCAGGCGGAACAACTCTGTCTTACAGGCCCTGCGGAAAGAAATCAGATCCCGCAGGGCCCTGGTCTCATGAGGCAGAGCGTTCCACCAGGCCGGAGCCAGAGTTGAAAAGGCCCTGGCTCTGGCTGAAACTAATCTGACTTCCTTAGGGCGCGGGACCTCTAGGGTGTTGCTCTTTGTGGACCTTAAGGTCGTCCATATGGCATACCAGGGGAGGTGGTCCCGTAGGTACGCGGGTCCTAGGCCGTGAAGGGCTTTAAAGGTCAAAACCAGCACCTTACATCTGACCCTGTAGTCCACTTAAGGCTCTTGCAGCCATCTTCTGCATCAGCTGAAGTTTCTGGACCATAGCTGTCAACTGTCCCTCATTTTGTGGGAAAGTCCCTTATCCCAGCACTGTGTCCCGCTGCTGTCCCTTATTGATGATGTCCCTTAAATTTCCTGGGTTTCAAAGGAAGCAGCTCCTCTCCCTCCCTCCCTGCCGGCCAGGGAGGAGGGAGGCTCCAACTGTGTTGCTTGGCTGCGTTGCTCACCAATAAGGAGTCTAAGAACGACTGGGGGGTGGAGCTTGGATGCCTTGTGCTGATCAAATCGGCCGTGTTGCCTGGGGACTCGCCTTTGCTCAGCACTTCCCAGCGGAGAGGTGACGGTGGTTTTCCTTGCTGCATCCCCTTTGCCAGATTGCTGCGCTGTGGGAACCACCCCTTGAGGCTTTGTTTGGCTGCTGGTTGACTAAAATCCCTTATTTTGGCTGCTGGTCCCTTATTTTCGAATCTGTAAGTTGACAGCTATGTTCTGGACCACTTCCTATATTACCCACCACGACAACGCAGCCTGGACCTAACTAGAGCATGGATCCCTCTGTGGTCTGGTCATCCCTCTCCAGGAATCGAGAGCAGCCAAAAGGCACCTTGTGTCAGCAAAGTGGGGCAAAACAACCCTTCCTCCACCCCACCCCAGTTCAGGAGCAGATTCTTTGCTTCTCAGACTCAACTTCAAGCCACTGACTCAGCATTCAGTGGTCTTGGCCAGGAAGGATGCCAGAAAGAGGACTTTGCCCCTCCCCTTCCAAGGAGGCAGGGTGGCATCCAGCTGACTTAATTTGCATTTTTCTGGTAGGCCTGGAGGGGGGGGGGGACTTGTCTCCTAGTGGAGTGGTGAAATCCACCCTCCTTCTCTCACCAGGTGCATCTAAATCCTACTCACTCCAGGCATTGATGGAGAGAGTCTTTCCTTTGATCGTCCTGTCATGATACTAAGTAGCCTGGGTAAATACAGAAGCTGTTTTGAATTATGATATGTGGAATGTTTAGAGCAGAGGCTTACATTTGACATGGAAACAGAATATCCAGATACGGCAGCAATAAAGGCATGTAAATATTTGAGAGAAGAATAACCTCAAATAAAAGTAAAGGTAAAGGGACCCCTGACCATTTATTGGCCGAGGGAGCTGGCATACAGCTTCCAGGTCATGTGGCCAGCATGACTAAGCTGCTTCTGGCGAACCAGAGTAGCGCACAGAAACACCGTTTACCTTCCCGCTGGAGCGGTATCTATTTATCTACTTGCACTTTGACATGCTTTCGAACTGCTAGGTTGGCAGGAGCTGTGACTGAGCAACGGAAGCTCACTCTGTCGCGGGGATTCGAACTGCCGACCTTCCGATCGGCAAGTCCTAGGCTCTGTGGTTTAACCCACAGCGCCACCCACGTCCCAACTTCAAATACCAGTCAGGTAAAAAAAAAAAAAGTGAGGGTGAGTGTCTGTTGATTCTGCCCTCTTAGAATCATAGAGTTGAAAGGGACCCCAAGAAGTCATCTAGCCAACCCCTAGCTAATGAATCCCTGACAGATGGCCATCCAACCTCTGCTTAAAAGGAAGAAGAATCCACCACTTTCCAAAGGCATATTTTCCAATGTTTAACATCTCTTTGCCCTCAGGAAGTTCTTCCTAATGTTTATTCGGAATCTCCTTTCTTCAAACCAAAGTTGGGGAAGCTGCTGGCCAGCGGGGAGAGGGAGGAGCTGGCTTGTTTCAATGTACGTGGGACCTGACTGCTATCAGATGTCAGAAGGACGAGTATTTACTAGCAATGCCCAACATTCTGAGCTCTGTGCAAATGTAACAACAACAACAATTTTTTATTTATATCCTGCCCTCCGCAGCTGAAGCCGGGCTCAGAGCGGCTAACAACAATAAAAGTAACACAGCATTCTAAAATCAATTCATTCTAAAATTAATTCAGAATCAAATTAATGGCAACCACTGGGCTAGAGTTCCATGGGGATTACCAAAGGAGGGGGTCAGGCTGTGCCTTGGCCAAAGGCCTGGCGGAACAGGCCCTGCGGAAAATGTCAAGTCCCACAGGGCCCTAGTCTCTTGTGACAGAGCGTTCCACCAGATTGGAGCCACAGTCGAAAAAGCCCTGGCTCTGGTTGAGGCCAGCCTAACCTCTCTGTGGCCCAGGATCTCCAAGATGTTTTTACTGGAAGACTGTAAGGTCCTCCATGGGACATACCAGGAGAGGCGGTCCCGTAGGTACGAGGGTCCTAGGCCGTATAGGGCTTTAAAGGTTAAAACCAGCACCTTAAACCTGATCCTGTACTCCACCTGGAGCCAGTGCAGCTGGTATAGCACCGGGTGGATGTGATCTCGCAGCAAGGACACCGTAAGGAGTCTCGCCGCGGCATTCTGCACCCGCTGGAGTTTCTGGGTCAGTCTCAAGGGCAGCCCCACTTGTACCATCATTCATGAAATGGGAATGAATCAAGAGCCTTATTCTCAGCTTATTTCTACGTGCAATCTAAACATTTTATTTCACAAAGCTTTTGAGATCTGGACTGGCTACCAGGTTTGTAGCAGGGATGGGGCTGGACTCCAAGTCCTAGCAGCCAGCCTGACCAGTTGCCAGGGGTAATGGGAATTGTAGTCCCACAGCATCCTTGTGGGTCGATTCTGCTTTTGGTGGCGATGCTGCTGCGCTGTTTATACCTTTTCGTGCTGCCAAATTATTTTATTAAAGCTTCTGCTAGTTGCTTGCTTTAAATTTGGGCAATGCTGTGGACATTTTGGCTGAACAGTAGCAGATAAATGCTTCAAAGCAATAAATAAATGCTGAACATGATTCTGTAAACGAGGTTGCAAAGATTATGAGCTGACGACAGCTGATGGCAACCCAGAGAGGCATAATAATAAATATAGCCAATGACTAATACTTGATCTTAGAGGGAAAGTCAGTTTCCATCGTCACGTGGGTACATGCTCGTGGCATTTTAATGTCATAAGAAGAGCCTGCTAGATCAGGCCAGGGGCCTATCTAGTCCAGCATGCTGCTTTCAAAGTGACCAACTAGATCCCCTGTGAGAAACCCGCAAGCAGAATTCAAGAACGAGAGTCCTCTCCCCTCTTGTGGCTTCCCATGACTGGTATTCAGAAGTATTGCTGGCTCTGTCTGTGGAGGCAGAGCCATCATGGCTTGGTAGCCATCGAAAGCCCTCTTCTCAATGCCTTTGTCCAATCCTCTTCTAAAGCCATCCAAGTTGGTGGCCATTCCTGACTCCTGTGGAACTGGGTTCCATAGTTTAACTCAGGGGTCCCCAAACTAAGGCCCGTGGGCTGGATAAGGCCCGAGAGACTCGTTTATCCGGCCCGCGGCGACCCCCGCTGCCCGCTGCCACCGCCCGCTCTTACTGGCGCTGCACCGCTGCCCACTTTCGGGTCGGAGGAGCACCGGAAATAGCTTGTGAGCATGTGCATGTGTGCACATCTGGTGCACATCCGGGTCGGAGGAGGCCCGTGCACATGCGCACAAGCTATTTCTGGTGCTCCTCCAACCCGGGGGTGTGCCGGAAATAGCGTGTGCACACGCGTTTGGGCATGTGCTCGCCTGTGCGATCGGCGCTGGAGACACCAGCCCGAGGCACAGTAAGTTTGCTGACCCCTGGTTTAACTGCGCAGTGCATGAAGAACTTTATTTTATCTGTCCCAAATCTTCCAGCAATCAGCTTCACTGGGTGACCTTGGGTTCTAGTGTGGTGTAGTGGTTAAGAGTGGTAGACTCGTAATCTGGTGAACCGGGTTCGCTTCCCCGCTCCTCCACATGCAGCTGCTGGGTGACCTTGGGCCAGTCACACTTCTCTGAAGTCTCTCAGCCCCACTCACTTCACAGAGTGTTTGTTGTGGGGGAGGAAGGGAAAGGAGAATGTTAGCCGCTTTGAGGCTCCTTGGGGTAGTGATAAAGTGGGATATCAAATCCAAATTATTCTTCTTATGAGAGAGGGAGGCAAAAAAATTCACTGCCCGCTTCCTCCATGCCATGTATAATTGTATGCATGTCCAAGCAGACCTTGGGGAAATTCCTTCAAGAAAGCTGTGGCACAGGAGGGCAGCCATGCAGCCCCATTGATTGCCCTGTGGTTTGTGTGGGTCTTTCCTCTCTTTCCTGGAGGTGCTGGGGTTGGGGGCAGCCAAGGAACCTGCTGTGTGCGTGTGTGTGTTGTGCTGGGCAGTGAGAACTGGATGTGCTCAGACAATGCCCCATACACAGAGTTGCCCCGAAGGGCTGCCGGGCCGCTTTGGTCCTCCCCTCCCCTCCTAATTCTGTGGGCAGGAAATATGAATTGACATTCAGAAGGAAATCTGCAAAACTCCCTTCCAAGAAATGGAGCGCTTAGATTCCAGTCGACAATACTTTTCTTTTTTTCCGCTCTGAAGCAAATCCCCATCAATAAACTATTTAGCTGGTGGAAAATAAGGAATGGGCCGTGTTTGGCATCAAGAAGCATTAGCGCTTGGATGTATTTATTCTGGATCTCATCGCCGAAAATATTTTCAGGAAGCGTGTATGCGTGTGGGTGGGGGGCGTGGGCTGAGAGCTGGGGGGGGGGTTGTCCTTGCACAAGGAAAGGAGCTAAACGTTGGGTAGCGTCGCTTTTCCAGCTGCACGGGGATGTAAAACGATTACCCTCAGGTTGGATCCAAAGGCAGATGTGGAAAACATGCTATTTAAATTTCAAAACCTCCCACCTCCTCGCCCGGCGGCTGTCAAACCTGCTAAGTCTCACCACAAAGCAGGTTAGCAATGGAGCTCAGCTTTTCAAAGCTTTCTTTTGCAAAACCAAGGAGCCCCTTGGGACATGCTGGGGATGGCAGCTGGACAGGCAGGTCGGAAGCTGGGGTGTCTTCAGATGCTGTCCCCGGGGGGGGGGGCATGGCATGTTCTATGGGCAGGGCCACAAGGCCCCCTTACCTGCTGAGCATAGGTCAAGTGCCTGGGAGCCCAGGAATGACTGCAGCATCATCTGCAAAGCATGGGATGTCGAAGCATCCGAATAACAACAACAATTTATTTATATCCTGCCTTTTCCCCAGACCAAGGCTCAAGACCATGGGTAGGCAAACTAAGGCCCGGGGGCTGGATCCGGCCCAATCACCTTCTAAATCCGGCCCATGGACGGTCTGGGAATCAGCGTGTTTTTACATGAGTAGAATGTGCCCTTTTATTTAAAATGCACCCCTGGGTTATTTGTGGGGCCTGCCTGGTGTTTTTACATGAGTAGAATGTGTGCCTTTATTTAAAATGCATCTCTGGGATATTTGAGGGGCATAGGAATTCGTTCTTCCCCCCCCCCAAAAAAAATAGTCCGGTCCCCCACAAGGTCTGAGGGACAGTGGACCGGCCCCCTGCTGAAAAAGTTTGCTGACCCCTGCTCAAGAACGGCTCCCAGATTAAAATACAAAAACACAGGTAAAACAGAAGAAGCTAAGAACATAGAAAGGATAATCATTAAAAAACAACAACAATTAAACAGTAAAAGAATTAAAACAATATATAAAAATCTATTAAAGGTATAAAAGCTTCATAATACCATCCCTTTCCTTTAAAAAAGTCAGCTGCTGAAGTCACAGGTTCAATTCCCATATGGGACAGCTGCATATTCCTGCTTCTCAGGGGGTTTGACTAGATCATCCTCAGGGTCCCTTCCAGCTCCACGATTCTTTGCCTCTATGCCTTTTGTAATAGAAAGGTCTTTCTTCACCTGCTGGCAAAGGGACATCAAGGAGGGAGAAAGTCTAACTGCTCTAGGGAGGGAGTTCCAAATTGTATCACCTTTCCAAAGGCTTGTTGCCTTTGATTCCTTCTCTGCTGTCACAAGTACAGAGTTTTTCTGAGTGGTGATCGGCCTTCTGTCGTCTAGCTAAACGGGCCAGCCCCCCCGAGTTGCGTGCCATAGCACTGTGACCCCATCGCCCCTAATATAGTAAAAACAACCAGGCAGGACAAAGAATGTAAAGGTAAAGGTAAAGGGACCCCTGAGAGTTAAGTCCAGTTGTGGACGACTCTGGGGTTGCGGCGCTCATCTCGCTTTACTGGCCGAGGGAGCCGGCGTACAGCTTCCGGGTCATGTGGCCAGCATGACTAAGCCGCTTCTGGCGAACCAGAGCAGCGCACTGAAATGCCATTTACCTTCCCGCCTGAGCGGTACCTATTTATCTACTTGCACTTTGATGTGCTTTTGAACTGCTAGGTTGGCAGGAGCAGGGACCGAGCAATGGGAGCTCACCCCGTTGCGGGGATTCGAACCGCCAACCTTCTGATCGGCAAGCCCTAGGCTCAATGGTTTAACCCACAGTGCCACCCGCATCAATTTTATCGATTACGGATGTGAAAGGTGTGGCATAGGCACTGGGTATACCTTTTCGCACTCCAGCCCTTCTGCTTGGAGTGTTCCCAGGGCAGACACAACTGGGGAGTCCTATGACCTTCATCAAATAGGGGTACCCCCAGAAGCATCCCCATCGGGGAGTGCTCTGGCCCTAGCACCCACCTGGGTACCTGGACAGATGTGACTCCTCGCAGATCCCATTATCAAGATATCATTTTCCATGAAGGGGCAGGCAGAGGCTACAACCTCCCCTGCAACCAAGACTAAGGCCCACTAGCCCAGAGAGGGCTCTTGTACCTGGTTTCTGTTTTGGGGTTTCCCTGAATGGTCATCTGGTCAACCAGCATGAGATGCTGGACTAAGAAGGGCAGGCTCTCCTTCGGTTCTGAACTTTATTTGTCCCAAGTGTTTTCTGGCATAGCTGTCAACTTACAGATATGAAAATAAGGGACCAGCAGCCTCGAAAATAAGGGATCAGCAGCCAAAATAAGGGATTTTCCAAACACAGGTATGTTCAACTTCTGAGCCCCTCCGAGCCAAAAGCAGAAAGCCCAGCCAGCAGCCAAACGAAGCCTCAAGCGGTGGTTCCCACAGCGCAGCAACCCGGCAAAGGGGATGCAGCAAGGAAAACCACCGTCACCTCTCCGCTGGGAAGCGCTGAGCAAAGGCGAGTCCCCAGGCAACACGGCCGATTTGATCGGCACAAGGCATGCAAGCTCCACCCCCCAGTCGTTCTTAGACTCTTTATTGGGTGAGCAACGCAGCCAAGAAGCACAGCTGGAGCCTCCCTCCTCCCTGGCCGGCAGGCAGGGAGGGAGAGGAGCTGCTTCCTTTGAAACCCGGGAAATTTAAGGGACATCATCAATAAGGGACAGCAGCGGGACACAGCGCTGGGGTAAGGGACTTTCCCACCAAATAAGGGATGGTTGACAGCTATGTTTTCTGGCGAGCCCTGGAGATGCAGGAGGGCAAATGGAAAACATGCCTTTCCTTTTTGAGCGTGGAATAAAGGATCTTGGGTATTTGAGACCTTTTGAGGCAGGAGAGGCAGTGGATGTCTCTTTGGCCCCCGAGAACAAATGGGGTCAGCGATGCTCAGCTCCCCCTCTGAAAGGCCCGGCTCCAGCCTCCCTTTCTTCTTCTTCATGAAAGTTTAATGCTTGTACCTCATTAATGAGCTCCCCAGAAAGCAAGACTCCTGCAAGCCCTGGATCTATTAAAATGCATCCAGGTCCCTGCCGGTCTCAGGCAGGGCAAGAGCAGGGGGGACTCAGGAGGATTAGCCAATCAAGCCTGCTTTACATAGATCCCTGCACTGATGCTCTTGCAAAAGGGCAGCTTGGATTCAGGCTCGAAAGCTGGAGGAGGAGGGGAGATGCGTTCCCTGCTGTTCCTTTCTCCTGTGCCAGGTTAAGGATAGGGAGATGGGGAGGGGTGTGTGGCCCAGGGTTGGCCCAAGACATTTTAGCACCTGAGGTAAACCATTAAACGGTGTCCCTCGCCAGGGAAGAAGGAGTGAAGTTCCACATCAGGAACAAGGGGGTGGTGGTTGTGGGAATGTTCAGGGATGCAGGAGAGGATAGATTGTTTGATTATAGCCTTTCCAACTTTTGTAAACAAGTTCACAATTTAGCAGAGTAACATTCCCCTTTTTAAACTTGCAGCGGATGCGTTTGCTCATAGAGCTTGCTAAAGCCTCTATAATAACTGTTCTGGTATTTTCCCCTTATGTCCCCCTTAAAAGATAAGACACTACACAGTCTTCTATAAAAGTATAAAAAAAGTTTACTCACATTCTGTTCACAATTGGATCCCAGAAGGCAGACTTAGCTTAGAAAAGTAACATATACCTGGAAACTATCTCATAAGGAGACAGTCCCTTTGTCCTCTCTTGGCTGGCCAAGAGAGCATCTTTGACTAAGCAGATGTTGCTTCTTCGATGCATGTAGTCAAAGAGAGAGATGGTTGCCCTGCCCTGTGCTTTTGTCATTACCTGCACAGGTGAGGCCACGCCCACCTCTAGTCACATGCAGAGGAAGTCTGTCCCAGCCCAGAAGGAAACAGGAAGTTTACCTGCTGGCTGGACAAACATTCCTCCCCATGTGTAAACATGTTCACTCTAGGAATGTTGTACTTGACTGCTCTTGTGTTTCACATCCCACAGTGGTGGAATAAAGATGTACCTCAAGAGCAGACCAGTGGATCCTTGGGGGGGCGGGGGGGCTGCAAAGGGGACAACAGATCCAGCCTCTAAGGAGCGTGTTATGAGAGAAAAACTGCTCCTTTTCCCTTATGGGGTACCCAAGAGCCCATATAGAGTCCTTTTGTAGGTTCTCTATCAGTAGGAGAATATAACAGAGGCCAAGCAGAGAATATTGAGAAGCAAAGCAGCTAGTAAGCCTGATCTTTTTTAAAGCTGCTGCAACAGGGTTCTCCCCACACAGGCAGGAGGGGAGGAGGGACCCCGAGCCATGTGCACAAGCCCTTATATAGACATTTTAAATTGCCCACCCTGGAGTCCAAGACCACCCCCAGAAACATCATACATACATCACAGAAGGGGTGTGGCCCAAGACCACCCCCTTAATACATCAGAGAAGGTGCGGAAATCTGGGTGTGTTGTTTCTTCCTGTCTGCCAGGTTACCTGATTGGATTACCTGGGCATCCTGGCCACTCTTTTGTTCTGATAACTACTCAATTCCTGAATCCAGGTCACAGGTCACAGGCTCATACCCTATTCATATCTTAAAACAGGATTTGTGAAAGAGACAATGGGGAGATTTCCATTTCCTTCCACCTTGCAGAGAAATATTTGAGGTCATTTGGGGAGAGAGAAAATGGTTTCAGGACTTTTCAGTGGGTTTCAGATATGTGGTTTACATATTTGTATGTGTTTGCTTGGTACATTTATGAACATCTATTATATATACAGTGGACGCTCGGGTTGTGAACGTGATCCGTGCGGGATACACATTCACAACCCGCAGTGTTCGCAACCTGCATCTGTGTGTCTGTGCACGCACGGGATGTGATTTGGTGCTTCTGTGCATGTGCAAAGTGCGATTTAGCGCTTCTGCGCATGCGCGGCTGCCGAAACCCGGAAGTAACCCATTCCGGTACTTCCAGGTTTGGGCGGTTTGCAACCCCCCAAAAAAGCAACCTGAAGCATCTGTAATCCGAGGTATGACTATATAAGACATCTATAAAACTCTTATAACAAGCGCACCAGTGGCAGCAGCAGCGAGAGATACATTCTCACATCGCCTTGCCTTACGAGTGGGCTGATGCTGGTGTGACTTGCCACGTTCTCCCTCTTGCAACATCCAACAGAAGAGTCTGCCAGTTCAGGCCAATGGGGACCCATCTAATCCGGCACCCTCCTCTTACAGTGGCCAACCAGATGCCCCAAAGGGAAACCTACAAGCAGGATTGGTGCACAAGAGCCTTCTCCCATCCTGCGGTTTCCAGGCATAGTTGCCTCTAACTGTGGAGACAAAGCAGAGCTTTTGCGGCTAGGAGCCACCAATAGCCTCTCCTCCATGAATTTGCCTAATCCTCTATTAAAGCCATCCCGGTTAGTGGCCACCACTGCCTTTTGTGGAAGGGAGTGCCACAGTTTAACTATACACTGCATGGAGAAGGACTTTCTGTTGTGGCTTTAGGAGCTCTGCATCCCCCAGCCATAGAGGGCTGGTGGCAGGGCCAGGATCAGCTTCAGCAAAAGGAACCGAAACGTTACTCCCCTCGCAGAGAAAGCTGGTTTGAATCAAGAGCAGATGGCGGATGAGGACAGGCTTGAGTTCAAGGCAGGCACGTGGGAGGGGCGCCCCTTTCACTTGCGTGTCGTCTCATGCTTTCCCTGGTCTGACTTTAATTTTACGCTGTATTAGAACTTGGCACATGACACATGTTAACTCTATCATGAAGTATCCAAACAAACCCCTGTGTTGCAAAGAGAACATCAACAATGTCTAGGCAACACGATGACCATATAGATACGTAATAGACAATCTTTATAGAATTCCTTCAAACCATAAAGAGTGGGTGGATATAGAATGCTTCATAAACCCATCTTATTTCAAATGACCACATTATTACATGAGAACTGTTCCACAGCATTTGATATTTTCATTTACATACATTCATTCAAAATAAGATGGGTTTATGAAGCATTCTATATCCACCCACCACGCTGATGAAGAGTTCTGCGAAACAGTAGTCAATATCCGGAATCCCTGTTCAGTGTTGGACATCATATTTGTTGAATACACAAAGCTTCACAGCTTGTCTTTCATCGTACAAAGCTTGGTACCTCGCTTCATTTAAAGATTTTCAGAGACTTTGAGATTGAAGATTTCATTTTGAACTCTTTATGGTTTGAAGGAATTCTATAAAGATTGTCTATTACGTATGTATCTGGTCATCGTGTTGCCTAAACTCTATCAGGAAAGCGGCTAACTGGCTCTGTGCAGTAAAGCAAACTGGCAATTGCAGGAGAATGGAACTGGGAGCACCAGCACTTCCCAGTAAGCTCTCTTCCCATTAGGCTCACCGGCTTAGGGTGGGGAGGGCCCAGGCACCATAATAAGACTGGCATGGAATGACTAATGATGAATGTGAATGGAAGCAAGAAGAACTACCGACGAAAGAAGAATGGAGGATGAAGTTGAGGGACTATGCAGAATTAGATAAATTAACAGGAAGGATTCGAAACCTGCGGGATCAGAGATTCTTAGAAGACTGGAGTAAATATATGAACTATTTGAAAAGTAATTGTGATGAACAGATTACACTAGTTGGATAGCTAGAAGTTTTGTAAGGTGGATTGTTTGAAATATTGCAAGAAAGAATAGGAAGAGAATTATTAGTTAAGGACAATTAAATGTAATACAGAAATTAAGAAATGCAGAATAAGTGATAAAGAACAGAAAATCATCAGAGGTGTTGACGGAAGTCTAAAATATTGTATAAGGTGAGAAGTTATGTAGTATGACTGTTGGAACTGATATGTTAAAAAAATCAATAAAAATGTGTATATATATCTATATATCTATCTATATATATATATATATATGACTAATGATGAATGTGCTCCTACCATAAGAACATATGAAGAGTATCTGCTGGATCAGGATTTGAGCAATAGAGCAGTTCTCCTTCCTGTGGATTCCAGCCACTAGGATTAAGAAACATTGCTACATCCAGCTGTGGAGGCAGAGCAGAGCCACCTTGCCTAACAGCCTTTGATAACCTTTTCCGCCGTGAATTTGTTTAAACCTCTTTTAAAGCCGTCAAGGTTGGTAGCCATCACTGCCTCCTGTGGGAGCGAGTTCCATAGTTGGACTTTGTACTGCATGAAGAAGGACTGCCGTATTTTTCCATGTATAAGATGACCCTTTTTCTGGTTTACAGTGGTAAGGTAAAGGTAAAGGGACCCCTGACCATTAGGTCCAGTCGTGGCCGACTCTGGGGTTGTGGCACTCATCTCGCTTTATTGGCCAAGGGAGCCGGCGTACAGCTTCCGGGTCATGTGGCCAGCATGGCGAACCAGAGCAGCACATGGAAATGCCATTTACCTTCCCGCTGGAGCAGTACCTATTTATCTACTTGCACTTTGACGTGCTTTCGAACTGCTAGGCGGGCCAGGAGCAGGGACCGAGCAACGGGAGCTCACCCCGTCGCGGGGATTCGAACCGCTGACCTTCTGATCGGCAAGTCCTAGGCTCTGTGGTTTAACCCACAGTGCCACCCATGTCCCTCGGTTTACAGTGGTACCTCGGGTTAAGTACTTAATTCGTTCCGGAGATCCGTTCTTAACCTGAAACTGTTCTTAACCTGAGGTACCACTTTAGCTAATGGGGCCTCCCGCTGCTGCTGCCACACGATTTCTGTTCTCATCCTGAAGCAAAATTCTTAACCTGAGGTAATATTTCTGGGTTAGCAGAGTCTGTAACCTGAAGCGTATGTAACCCGAGGTACCACTGTATTTTGTGTGTGTGATAAATTGAGGGTCGTCTTATACACGGGTTAATATGCTAAGTAAGCGAGGGCTGGTGCTGCGGCGGAACAGGGAAATGTTGGAGAGGAGACTGCTTACCCGCTCTCTCCGGCTTAGTAGGAGTATTTGGTGAGTGCCAGTATGCGGTATATTACAGCACCAGTTCCGTCAGCCAGAGCGGGGGATCGTGGAAAAGCTGCTCAACAGCATGGCAAATTTACAAAAGAAGCTTGAGGGCTCCCCAAAATAGGAGTCGTCTTATACGTGGGGTCCTGTTATACACGGAAAAATACAGTATTTTTTACCTGTCCTGATTCTTCCAAAGTTCCTTTTCACCGGATGCCTGCGAATTCTAGTTTTATGAGAGGGAGAAAAATGTTTTTCTATTTACTTTCTCCATCCCAGGCATCATTTTATAAACTTCTGTCAAGTCACCTCTTCCTTGTCTTTTCTCCAAACTGAAATTCCCCCAAAGCCGCAACTTTTCTTTACAGGGGAGTCACTCTGGCCCCTTGACCAAAGGAAGATGCTTTGAAGACTCAGGCCAGCTTGTGGCAGACTGAATCAACTTCCCCAATGAACATCTGGAAAGGATCTCTGAGGTCAGAGATCTGTGCGCTGGAGTTCGTGTGAGGCTGTTGCTCAGGGAGGCCTTGTACCTCAAGCCAGCTTGCTGATCACCACTGGAGGCAGCACATGCTGGGGCGGGGAGCCAGGATGGGTGCATGCTGTCTCTGAATGTAGCTGTGGATCTCTTGTTGTTGATGTGTGGCCAGAGGAATGGCGCATTCCCAAAACTTGCTTGCACAACTCTCATTCAGATTATGTGCATCACTGACCTTTGGTGAAAAATGAGCAGGTTATGGGAAGAGAAATCCATTCTACAACCTGTTGCTCCAACCCCTTGATCCTTTTAGTTGCCTTTTTCTGATGCTTTCCCCCCAAACCACAAGTCCAGCCTGTTAACCAGATCACCTCTTTCTATCTGCTCCTTGACAAAGAACTCCAAGAGGTTCTAATAGGTCCATGTGGTATGAATGACATGATGGCTGAGGTTCTGGGTGGCTATGGAGCAGACTCGGGGCACTGGAGAGCCAGTGTGGTGTAGTGGTCCAGGGCGGTAGACTTGTAATCTGGTGAACTGGGTTCGCTTCCCCGCTCCTCCACATGCAGCTGCTGGGTGACCTTGGGCTAGTCACACTTCTCTGAAGTCTCTCAGCCCCACTCACCTCACAGAGTGTTTGTTGTGGGGAAGGAAGGGAAAGGAGAATGTTAGCCGCTTTGAGACTCCTTCGGGTAGTGATAAAGCGGGATATCAAATCCAAACTCTTCTTCTTCGTGGGGGGTGGGGAGCAATGCTTCTTTCAGACAGAAATCCCAGCTTTCATTTTTCCTTGCAACCTCCTCTGTTTATGCCAATATTTGGTGATGCAGGGCAGATGCTGAGACTCCAACTGCAGTTGGCAGGAGAGGATTTTCACTTTGGGTGGGTGGGTCATATTTCTCCACTATAGAACACATACATGACCCAGCCCAGCTCGGTGCTGCAGGGTTAATGGCAGCTTCAGACGTGCCTTGTTCCTTTCTTCTGGTGCTTCTGGTGGAGCAAGGCGGGCCACTGGCGGCATGTGGAGTCTCCCTGCTGCCCACCTCTGTCCAATTTCAGCTGCAGTTTCCAGGAAAACCATTGAGAAAATGAGCCGAAGAGTCCCTCCAGGGATGACTAGGAGCTGGAAGAGGCCTTCATTAGGCTCTGCCGCATTTTCTGCTTTTGTCCAGTTCTGCATTTTCAATTGTGATTTCCCCCCTTTCCTTTTAAAATGTTGATGCTCTGTTATTCTTGTTGTATGCTGGCCTGCGGGACGCGGGTGGAGCTGTGGGTTGCCGATCAGAAGGTTGGCGGTTTGAATCCCCGCGACGGAATGAGCTCCTGTTGCTCAGTCCCTGCTCCTGCCAACCTAGCAGTTTGAAAGCACACCAGTGCAAGTAGATAAATAGGTACCGCTCCGGTGGGAAGGTAAACGCCGTTTCCGTGCGCTGCTCTGGTTCACCAGAAGTGGCTTAGTCATGCTGGCCGCATGACCCGGAAGCTGTACGCCGGCTCCCTCGGCCAGTAAAGCGAGATGAGCACCGCAACCCCAGAGTCGGCCATGACTGGACCTAATGGTCAGGCGTCCCTTTACCCTTATACTGGCCTGCAAGCTTCACTGATGGGCACCCTAAAAAATCTGTTGACTAAATAGTTTAGGGCTCCAGAATGCTGTGCTGGTGTCAGCCCTTGAGGGTCTCAGTGTTACCCAAATTGGGCAGGGGATGCTAAGAGGCAAGGGGGTGGTGGGGGAGGGGTGGAAGGTGTAAATGACTATCAGACTTTGAATAGCTGGTCTCGCTGGATCAGTTTTGTTGAATCAATTAAATGAAATACTTTTAATTGGCTTTTGAATAACTGCAATTAATTGTTACTGTTTTGAATTTTATTGTGCTATTACCTTCCTTTACGGGTTGTGCAAAGTGATGTTCTGAACAATGTTTTTTTGGGAGCCACAGAGTTAGTGGGTCAGTGCTTCTGTGGTTTGGTGAGAGGGAACAGCTGGATGGAGGGGAAGGAAAGGGATGGGGGGGGGCAAGCCCCACAACGATGCTTCTGTGCCAGTCCCTTCTCTCTCACTTGATTGCCCCTTCTGAGCATTTTAGAGGTACCTATGCCAAATCTCCCAGGTGCACATCCTTCAAATTGGATCAGAGATGCATGTAATCTTGGACCCAGATGCCATGCTTGGGAGTTCTCCTTCTCAAATGGCAGCAACCTGCTGTTCCCAGAGCATAGATAAGAATCCCACCTGCTGCAAAAGGACCCCAGAGAGCAGCTAGAGGAGGGGTGCATGTCTCTCTCGCATGCCCCAAAGCACCAAGGGCACAGATCACACAAAGTGCACATTATAAAGGACCCGTCTGGAAGCGCCCAGAGAACCCTGTGGTGCATGATGGAAGATCTAGGACAGATAAAAAAAAGGTCTTCGTCAGACAGTCCATAGGTAAACTATGGAACTCCTTGCCACTGGGGGAAGTGATGGCCGCCAACTTGCATGGCTTTAAAAGAGGATTAGACAGATTCAGAAAGGAGAGGGCTACTGGGGGCTCCTACCGCCTTCTGTCGGGATGCGGGTGGCGCTTTTTGGGTTAAACCACTGAGCCTAGGACTTGCCAATCGGAAGGTCGGCGGTTCAAATCCCCGTGATGGGGTGAGCTCCCGTTGCTCTGTCGCTGCTCCTGCCCACCTAGCAGTTCAAAAGCATGTCAAAGTGCAAGTAGATAACTAGGTACCGCTCTGGCGGGAATGTAAACGGCGTTTCCGTGCACTGCTCTGGTTCGCCAGAAGTGGCTTAGTCATGCTGGGCACATGACCCGGAAGCTGTATGCTGGCTTCCTCAGCCAATAAAGCGAGATGAGCACCGCAACCCCAGAGTCGGCCACGACTGGACCTAATGGTCTTTACCTTTACTGCCTTCTGTCAAGAGCTTGGGTGTAACATTCAACTCCTCTCTTTCCATGGAGGCACAGGTTGCAGCCACAGCAAAGGTGGCATTTTCCCATCTCTGCCGTATCAAGCAGCTGGTCCCTTACCTTTCTTGCCCTGATCTGGCCATGCGACGGTCACCTTCAGGCTTGATTATTGTAACTCGCTCTATGCAGGGCTGCCCTTGAAGCTGACCCAGAAACTCCAGCTGTTGCAGAATGCCGCAGCGAGGCTCCTTACGGGGTCCTTGCCATGGGATCACATTCATCCAGTGCTTTACCAACTGCACTGGCTCCCGGTGGAGTACAGGGTCAGGTTTAAGGTGCTGGTTTTGACCTTTAAAGCCCTATGCAGCCTAGGACCCACGTACCTACGGGACCGCCTCTCCTGGTATGCCCCACGGAGGACCTTAATGTCCACAAATGACAACACTTTGGATGTCCCAAGTCAGAAGGTGGTTAGATTGGTCTCAACTAGGGCCAGAGCCTTTTCAGTACTGGCCCCAAGTGGTGGAACGCTGTCACAAGCGACTAGGGCCCTGCGGGACTTGACATCTTTCTGCAGGGCCTGCAAGGCAGAGCTGTTCCGCCTGGCCTTTGGTTTGGACTCCGTCTGACCCTTATGCTTCCCTCTCCTTATGGTCTTGATCTATGGGCTACTCTTAAAATGTGGCTGCATTTTAAATTGCATTTTAACCTGTATTTTAAATTGGTCCCCCCCATTATGTTTTTACTGTGATTTTATTGGTGTTAGCTGCCCTGAGCCCGGCTCTGGCCAGCAAGGGTGGGGTATAAATAAAATTTATTATTATTATTATTATTATTATTATTATTATTATTACCCATGATGGCTATGTTGTCCCACCACAGTCGAGGGCAGCAGTGCTTCTTCACACCTGTTGCTGGAAATCAGACAGGGAGGAAAGGGCTCTTGTGCTTGGCCACAGTGATAAGAGGAGGCTGGACTAGGTTGGTCCTTGGCCGGAAGCAGCAGGCTGTTCTTATGCACAGTAACCCCTTTTTCTCTTCTTCCGGGACAGGGATGGATTCGACTGCCAACGCCAAAAGCAACCACTGCCTTGACGCGGCCAAAGCCTGCAACCTGAACGACAATTGCAAGCGCCTCCGCTCGAGCTACATCTCCATCTGCAACAAGGAGATCTCCTCCACGGAGCGCTGCAACCGCCGCAAGTGCCACAAAGCCCTGCGCCAGTTCTTTGACCGCGTGCCCCACGAGTACACCTACCGGCTGCTCTTCTGCTCCTGCAGGGACCAGGCGTGCGCCGAGCGACGCCGACAGACCATCGTCCCCCATTGCTCCTACGAGGACAAGGAGAAGCCCAACTGCCTGGAGCTCCGCAGCCTGTGCAGGTCGGACCCCCTCTGCCGGTAAGGACCGCCTCACTGTGAAGCCAGGTTTCCCATTGGCAAAGCCCTTGGGGCTCATGAATGGTCTCTGAAATTTGAGTTTTGTTATGAGCAGAGTTTTCAAACGTGGGAGAAGATACCTAGGAAGGTAGGCCTTGATCACTGGAGTTTATTTCCAAAGGAAGGTCACTAAGGAAAACGGGCTCAGCATCCCGGGCTCACCAATGAGACGTTGTCATTGTGGTCCATTTGTGGCTCTGAGTTTTGGGTGTGTGTGGTTTTTGATGGAGTCTCCAGCATCTCTGGCGATGGATTGCTTTGACGCAGTGATTTGGGTGCATGCTGCGAGTGTTCTTGGGGAAACCATAGCTGTCAACTTTCCCCCCTTTTAAAGTAATAGTAATAGTACCACTCTATTCTGTCTTGGTCCAACCCCACCTGGAGTCCTGTGATTGACAAGCTGGAAAGTGTGGAAAGGAGGGGTACCAAGGTGATCAAGGGTCTGGAAGCAAGAATTGTGAGGAACAGTGGAGGGAGCTGGCAATGTTTAGCCTGGAGAAGAGAAAACTGAGAGGCGATTGGAGAACCGTCTTCAAATATCTGAAGGGCTGTCATGGGGAAGACGGACAAGCTTGTTTTGTGCTGCTTCTGAGGGTAGGAGCCAAATGAAAGGATTCAAGTTACAAGAAAGGAGATTCTGACTAAACACCAGGAAGAAATTTCTGACAGTGAGAGCTGTTTGACAAGGGAATGAACTTCCTTGAAAGATGTTGTGCTCTTCTTTCTTAGAATTTTTTGAACAGAGGTCAGGGATAGTTTAGCTGTGATTTTTGCCTTGCCGGGAGTTGCACTACATGGCTCTTTTGGTTCCTTCCAGCTCGACAATTCTATTACTCTAACACAGATGGGGTGCTGTTGGGGAAGGCGACAGTGCTGGCCATGCTGGTTCAACCCTCATGTCTGCCACTGTGAGACAGGATGGGGATCCTGCCAATCATCTGGCCCCAATGGACCAGGCAACCTGGAGCTGACTTTGCCAAGAAGACAGGCCTGCTTAGGAAGGCAGGGGAAGGGAGCTGGTCTAGGCGCATGTGTCTGCGTGTTTGTGGGGGTGGGAGGGCACGTGATGCTCTGCTAGGGCTGGACACAGGGGCAGGGATGTGTCTCAGGAGATCAGGGAGGAAGAAATTGCAAGTGATGTTGAAAAAGGAGGTGTCAAAGTGCTGGCCAAGGGGGAAACATCATTAGTGCTAGACTTGTCTCCCTGAATTTCGGTCTCTTGCTCTGCCCTGTCTCTCTGGTTTTGTCTCTCTGTCTCTCCAGCTGCCAGAACTCCCCCGGCAGTCTAATCAGCTGCCAGGGCAATATTCTCTTCCAAGGGCCAATGGGCACTGCCGATCCTTGTGTGCCTCCCCTTGCCCCTTGCTAAATGCTGGGTACAAAGGCAGGAGGCGGGGGGAAGAAACTCTGAGCTGCTGGAATGGCTAGTGGATGAACCACACCACATAGGAACATGCAAAGAGCCCCACTGGATCAAGCCAGCAGGGCTCATCTAGTCCAGCTGTTCTCCCAGAGAGCAACCAGATGTCTCACTGGGAAGCCCACAAGCAAGACCTGAGCACAAGAGCCCTCTCCCCTCTTGTGGCTGATATTCAGAACCATAGTAGCCATCGAGAGCCCTCTCCTCCATGAATTTGTCCAAACCTTGTTTGAAGCCATCCAGATTGATGGCCATCACAGCTTCCTGCAAGAGTGAGTTCCACAGATTAACTCTGCACTGCATACATAAGTCCTTTTTAAACATCTGCATTGACCCTTCCAACATTCAGCTTCACTTGATGTCCGCGAGTTCTAGTGCTATGAGAGAGGGAGGAAACATTATTCACTTTCTCCAAGTCATGCATAATCTTATAAACTTCTGCCATGTCACCTTTTACTCTCCTAAACTAAATTAAAAAGTCCCAAGCACTGCAATGTCCCTCCCTCCCTCTTGCTCTACTCTTTTCTAAACCGAAAAGGTCATCTTATTTCTCAGGCTCTCCCATGATTTAAGGCCATCATAATGATAATATATAAAAGGGACGTGGGTGGTGCTGTGGGTTGAACCACAGAGCCTAGGACTTGCTGATCAGAAGGTTGGTGGTTCGAATCCCCGCGACGGGCTGAGCTCCCGTTGCTCAGTCCCTGCTCCTGCCCACCTAGCAGTTCGAAAACACGTCAAAGTGCAAGTAGATAAATAGGTACCGCTCCTGCAGGAAGGTAAACAGCGTTTCCATGTGCTGCTCTGGTTTCACCAGAAGCGGCTTAGTCATGCTGGCCACGTGACATGGAAGCTGTACGCCGGCTCCTTCGGCCAGTAAAGCGGGATGAGCGCCGCAACCCCAGAGTTGGTCACGACTGGACCTAGTGGTCAGGGGTCCCTTTACCTTTACCTAATGATAATAGTAGAGAAACGCCTTTTGTGGGCCTGGAAAATGGTGTTTGGAGTAGAACTGGGCCCGGGCCCAACAAGTGCCCAGGAATGGGGAATCCCTGGCAAAGCTTCACCCTGGAAGAGGGACAATTCCTGTACTCAGGGTGGTCAGCCAGATGTCTGTGGGAAGCCTGCAAGCACAATCTGAGTGCAAGAGCATAAGAACGTCAGAAGGGACTGCTGGGAATGGCCAATGGCCTATCTGGTCCAGCATCCTATTCTCATAGTAGAAACTCAGATGCCCCAAAGGGAGACCCACAAGCCTTTGGGAAACTTGCTCCAGCTTGGCTCTGCCTGCTCAGCAGGAATGTTGGGCAGTCACCTCACCTTCCTGCAGCCCAAGGAAAGACTCCCTGGGCATGGCCAGCATCTGTTGCTTGGTACTTGTGCCTCCTCTGCACGCTCTTAGGTGGATGCTCAGCTAATCAAGCAACTACAGTGGTACCTTGGGTTACAGACACTTCAGGTTACAGACGCTTCAGGTTACAGACTCTGCTAACCCAGAAATAGTACCTCGGGTTAAGAACTTTGCTTCAGGATGAAAACAGAAATCGCATGGCGGTGGCATGGCAGGAGCTAAAGTGGTGCTTCAGGTTAAGAACAGTTTCAGGTTAAGAACGGACCTCCAGAATGAATTAAGTTCTTAACCCGAGGTACCACTGTATTGTCCTGTTAGTATCTTTCTATACATTAGAAGAAGAAGAAGAAGAAGAGTTTGGATTTGATGTTCCGCTTTATCACTACCCTAAGGAGTCTCAAAGCGGCTAACATTCTCCTTTCCCTTCCTCCCCCACAACAAACACTCTGTGAGGTGAGTGAGGCTGAGAGACTTCAGAGAAGTGTGACTAGCCCAAGGTCACCCAGCAGCTGCATGTGGAAGAGCGGGGAAGCGAACCCGGTTCACCAGATTACGAGTCTACCATTCTTAACCACTACACCACACTGGCTCTCGAGGTTAGCTCTGCTGTGGAACTGGGAGCAGTGAATTCTGGGTGGCAAAGGGGACCACTGAAATAGGTTTGGAATCAACCAGGCCATTCTAAAGGGAAATTCGTTTATGGAACATCCAGCATTGATATTAATGCACCTTTCACTTTGTTCCTCCATTAACAGCATTTGCACAAGGTTTATGGGGATGGGGCCCCTCAAAGGTACTTTTATTGTCCCATGTGGAATGCCTTCAGAAGGGTTTCCCCTGCCATCTGGTGGGCCACTGTGAAAACAGGATGCTGGACTAGATGGGCCCCCATTGGCCTGATCCTGCAGAATATTCTGCTCCAGTACAGGATAGTTTGCCGAGTGTCAGGAAGTGGGCAGGGGGCTACCTGGACTTTTCTGAGTCTCTTCTGCTTTGAGGGAGAGCCTTCTGTGGTACCTTGGACAGTTCCATGCAGGCCTCTGGCTGAAGGCTCCATAAAAGCCTAGGTGTTGTTTCAGCCTCTGCGCTCCAAGGCTGAGTCCTGAATAAGAGCTGCAGCTCTCTCTCAGTGGCTTGCTCTGTCTTTGGTGGCAGAAACTTCTTCAATTAAAGCAGCCTAGCTGGCTTTAGCAGTTGTTGAGCAGAGCAGGAGAGATGATGGTTTTGCTGGGGCTTCTGAGCTGGATTCCGAAGAGGGCAGCTTGGCTTCTGTGGCTGGAGAGGTCCTGGCACACTGGGATCCTTTTGCCCAAGTGCTTTGGGAAGCTGAAGCTGGTACAGAATGCTACTGCCTATTATCTAGAATGGCAAGACAGGCTCATATTTCATCAACGAAATGACCTGGCCCAGTTTCAGAGGGTTGGTACTAATGTACAAATCCCTGAATGACTAAGAGCCCAGTACTCAATGGAGCGTCTTGCCCAGTGTTGACCAGCTTGGGCGTTGGGAGCTGCAGGGGGGGGCGGTTCTGCTAGTGGTCCCGCCGTTGAGGATGGTCTGAGGGCGGGGGCTTCTTGGTGGCGGCATCCTGTTTGTGGAATTTATTCTCTCTGCAGGTCAAGTTGGCTCCTCCCCTCCCCAACTTTATTCAGATGCCAGCAAAGAACATTTATGTTCTGGCAGGCCTTTGGGACAGGATGCCTGCAGCACTTCGGATTGTGATAGGCTGCTTAATGGCATTTTTATGGCTGTATTTTTAGTCTGTGCTTTCAGGAGTCATTTATTGCTATATTTTATACATTGGTAGCTACTCTGGGCTCTACATGAGGAGCAGCGAGATAAGGAATGAAGGGGAATATGTATGTATATAAATCAGCCCAGAAAAAATGACAGCGGAAGTGGAGGAAAGTGTAAAAGAGAGCAAATCGGGTGGGCGTCTTGGTATATTCGAATGGGCCATTGTTTTCTGTGATTGGCAGAGGTTACTGCCAGCAGGGTCAGGGCACAAGGGGACCGAACCTGAAGGCTTGGTGGGAAAGGGGAGGGGCATAGAGGTATAAAGGGGGAGCATTGCAAGCCCAAGAGGGCAGCAAGGGGAAAGGGAAATTGGGTGGCTGAAGGCATTGGAGAAAAGCACACAGTTCGGAAGTCAAAAAGCATTAGGAGTGGATTCTACAGAAGCCATCATGGCCTCTAAATAATGGACAGGTGGTCACTGTATGCACCTTGACCTGAAGTAGCAGCTCTAGCTGGACTGGGGGCAAAGAAAGTCCTTCTTCACAAAGCACATACTGAACCTGTGGAACTCTCTCCCACAGGAGCTAATCATGGCCACCAAAATAGATGGCTTTTAAAGAGGATTTGGACAAATTCATGGAGGAGAGGGCTATCGATGGCTACTAGCCAGGATGGCTATGGTCTGCCTCCACAGTCGGAGGCCACAATGCTTCTAAATACCTGTTGCTGGAAACCGCAGGAGGGGAGAGGGGTCTTGTGCTCGAATCCTGCTTGTGGAGTTCCCAAAGGCATTTGGTCAGCCACTGTGAGAAGCAGGATGCTGGCCTAGATGGGCCATTGGCCAGACCCAGCAGGTGCTCTTCTTATTTTCTTATGAAACATGCAGTGCCAGGTGCAAGAGACCACGTGGAAGGCGCTGCTTGGCTGCTCTTGGAAAAAAATGCCTCCTTGATGCTCATTCCTTTGGCTTTCAGGTGGTGCTGTGGGTTAAACCACAGAGCCTAGGACTTGCCGATCAGAAGGTCGGTGGTTCGAATCCCAGCAATGGGGTGAGCTCCCATTGCTCAGCCCCTACTCCTGGCAACCTAGCAGTTCGAAAGCACGTCAAAGTGCAAGTAGATAAATAGGTACTGCTCCGACGGGAAGGTAAACAGTGTTTCCGTGCGCTGCTCTGGTTCGCCAGAAGCGGCTTAGTCATGCTGGCCACATGACCTGGAAAAACTGTCTGCGGACAAACGCTGGCTCCCTCAGCCTATAAAGCGAAATGAGCGCTGCAATCCCAGAGTCGTCCACGACTGGACCTAATGGTCAGGGGTCCCTTTACCTTTAAGTGATGGGTGCTGTGCTGGTGCTGGAGGAGACTCTTGAGAGTCCCATGGACTGCAAGAAGATCAAACCTATCCAGTCTTAAGGAAATCAGCCCTGAGTGCTCACTGGAAGGACAGATCCTGAAGCTGAGGCTCCAATACTTTGGCCACCTCATGAGAAGAGAAGACTCCCTGATGTTGAGAAAGATGGAGGGCACAAGGAGAAGGGGACGACAGAGGATGAGATGGTTGGACAGTGTTCTCGAAGCTACCAGCATGAGTTTGACCAAACTGTGGGAGGCAGTGGAAGACAGGAGTGCCTGGCGTGCTCTGGTCCAGGGGGTCACGAAGAGTCGGACACGACTAAACGACTAAACAACAACAAAGTGATGGAACTCCAGCCAGAACCAAGAACACCACACTTACCACCCCAATAACAAACTAGAGACAAGATAAGGTTTCTGTGCTAGGAGGACAGCAGGTAATTAAACCTCCAACCCGAGAGCTAATAGGCAAAAAGATGAGCTGTAATTGGAGAGCCTTTAAAGAGAGTTGTTTTTCCCCCCTCCCCTTACTGTTATCTAAAGTGCAGGAGGACATCAGAGGAAAGGAGGCGGGAGCGGGTTGCCCCTTATAGGACTGGGGTCAAACTGCTAATGCAACCAGGGGGGCAGGAATGAAGAATGGGAACTTGGCTAGCAGGGGAAAGGCTAACTAACACCGTCCCTCCCTTGTACAAATCTTCGTTGGGTGTTGTGTTTTTTTTTAAAAAGATACAGTAGGTTGGATGGCCACCTGTCAAGGATTCTTTATTGGGATTCATGCATTGCGAGGGGTTGGACTAGATGACCTTTGGGGGTCCCTTGCCACTCCACAATTCTATGATTCAGCCTCCCAATGACCCACTTTTCATTAAAGCAGCAGCCAGTAACCCCCCCCCATGCATTTGTATGCCACGTGCAGTTTGCCACCCCTTGGGACCTTGGCTGGGAGTGGGGGAAAGCCCCCACCCCAGGGTGCCTGGATCCGGCTCTCCATCCCCTTGGAATAGAAAAAAGGTGGTAGGAAAAAAGGAGCAGCACCCCCTCCCTCTGCTGGCACCCTCGTTCCCCTCTGTGTGGCTTTTCTTGTCTTCCCCGCAGCTGCGGGGATTTCTGACAGACTCTTTGCACCGCGGCGCTGATTGTACCGGACAGGTTTTAGCTTCAGAATATAAAACCTTTTTCAAAACCATAACCTCAGCTAAGGGGAAAGAGGAGGGGAAAGGATGAAAAGAGCTGATTTCAGCAGCTGCAGTTTGCTGTATTTTTTCATCTTGCATCAGCAAATCAGGACCACAAATAATCTGGTCTTAACATGCTTCACTGAGTGCTGCCTCGGAAGAATTTTCCATCTTCTACAAAGGCTGTGTTTCCACCGTCTCCAGAGGCAAGGAGGGACCTTCATTTTTCATTGGGGTTCTTCCTTCAATTCAGACTCTCTTCTCCTCACCCTCCAACGGAAAACCTCGAAAGAGGAGAAGATGCTCATTAAATGACCTGACTCTGAGAGAATCCGTGTTCCAAGTGGGACGCTTGCTTTTTATTTTTTTTTATTTTTACCTGGACCCAAAGAGCTTCACACCCTCTGCAGCAATGGGCAAAATGTCATTTGGTAATACAGTAGATGCATCTCTGGATAAAAACCAACAACCAGAGCAGTTCGGCCTTCTCATTACACTACATAATGAGAAGGGCTTGGAGCAGCTGTTCACAGGTCCAGGTTTTAGCCAGAGAATAGGCAGGGCAGGAGAGGAATCAGAATTGCCTATTAATCTGTGGAAAGGAGGGGTTCAGAAATGCTTCTTAGGGAAAGAGCCATATATTTGTGGTGTTATGCTCATCATCTGGAGTTCTGTAGCTCAACAGTCAGTTCTCATTGTGGGAGTTGAGCCCAATGTGACTGGCCAGATTTTCTAGCATGTCTAGCAATGCAATGTAATTCTTTCCCTGTTATGTTTTCTCATGTATAACAAAGGTTGGGGGTTTCATCCTGTTGTAAGGCTTCCCCCACCTTTACCGCTTGTTGTCAGGGATGCGGGTGGCGCTGTGGGTTAAACCACAGAGCCTAGGACTTGCTGATCAGAAGGTTGGTGGTTTGAATCTCCGTGACGGGGTGAGCTCCCGTTGCTTGGTCCCTGCTCCTGCCAACCTAGCAGTTTGAAAGCACCTCAAAGTGCAAGTAGATAAATAGGTACCGCTCCAGCAGGAAGGTATACGGCATTTCCGTGCGCTGCTCTGGTTCGCCAGAAGCGGCTTAGTCATGCTGGCCACATGACCCGGAAGCTGTACGCCGGCTCCCTCTGCCAATAAAGCGAGATGAGCGCCGAAACCCCAAAGTTGGCCACAACTGGACCTAATGGTCAGGGGTCCCTTTACCTTTACCTAAAATGGTTATCTGGATCAATAAACCATGGCAGGTAACACCTGTTCACGTGCCACAGGGATCCATGGTTAATGGCTTACCTTGGATGCTTTGCTCTCATGGGAAAACAAAGCTTGAACTTAGGCTTAGCATTATGTTGGAACTGTAAGTCATAGAAATGACACACCCACACACCCACAACCATTTCTCTCATGATAGAATGACATTCAGCTGACTCACCCTTCACACAGGACCACAACCTCCCCTGTAATTATATAAATAAGAATACTGTCCATGTAGTTAGATGGGGAAATGTCAGCTTTCCTTGGTCCCCATTAGGGAGGAATGGAGGGGAGGGGCTGTGCCGAATGGAAAGTGCCCCACAAGGGGGAGGTGACCCTGAGCCTCCCTCTGATTGGACATGTTCTCATGACATTCATTTATACCTCCCCCTGACCTGAGCTTTCTTCTTCAAGGGTGTGGGAACATGTTCATCCCTGCAAGCATACTGTTGTGGGGTTGGGTTTTTTTTGGGGGGGGTGAAGGTCAGTCAGGATGATGCCTAAGTTTAGACCCTCCAATTCTTGGGGGCAGCAAGGGTCAGAATCTAATAAAGGATTCTGTTATTGAAATAGATAAGTTTCTTGATATGACAAAGACCTTAGGCTGGCCAGTTAAGGGTCCTCATCAGCATCCCAAAAGAGTGAGCCAGGTTGCAAGAGCTACAACTAAGTGATGGGACCCTTCAAAGCTAAGGGATGGGTCGTGCCTCACCTAGCTGCTAGGCAGGAGAACAAATAGCCAGAGTAGTTTGTGGGAGCTGAGCTTTTGGACGCAGGCTAGAATCAGGATACACAGAGACCTGCTTGCTCTGTGCTGGAGCCAAAGCTGTGATTAATGGAGAAGAAAGATCTGCTGGGTATGTCGGTGTAAATAAAACCACATACCCTAAAGATGCAACAGGCTCCACTGACCTTCATTCCAGGGAATCTGAACCCTGGCTAAGCATGCAGGAGCCCTGGAGTCTCTCATCGCTCAGAGACGGGGGTAGCATGGAACAATACATCTAGGGGAATTGAGGCTCTTCGATTAGCTCTGAAAGTGAAATAAGGCTGGTGACTTTTTGTTAGGGAATCATTGATCTCAGCTGGCTGATATTCAGCTCCAAGGCTTGCTGGGGTCGTGCTTTGATTCGGGAATGTATGAATGGAAAGATAATAAAATGGAAAACTGCCTCCTTCTCCCCATCCCCAGCTGTGTCGTCCCCCCCAATCGAAGGAGCTTCTGACGATGGTGAAGATGTGAGAGACCGTCTCTCTCTCTCTCTCTGAGCCCCAGCCCATTCCGGGGAAAGCCGAAAGAAGCCTTTTCAGTTCTGCGGCTCCCTTTGCTCAAGGCTAACCACCATCTTAACACAATAATAAGTCAATCCTCACTGAATAATTAAACAGAGAACTTTCATAAGTATTGACTTAACGTGACAGCAAGTCTATATCGACTCGGGGCTTGCTTATGTAAACACAATCCTGTGTTCGGCTTAGTTAGCAGTTCAATGGGAGAGAACATTCCTTCAATTAAAATCAAATGATGCATGCCCTTCATTCTTCCCTTCCCTCGCTAGGTAATCATGGCCTCTGAGCACAGGTGAGGGGATGCCATGGGGAGGGGGCTCCTCTTCAAGTGCATTTAACCGCTGTGAATTAAAAAGAAAACATGGGCTGTTAAGAGGAAACAACATCACACTGGCAAATACGCAGGTGGGATTTGAAAAGGAAGTTTTGCTAGTGGAACATAAGCCTTTGAGCACAATCCCCCTGGTGGGTGCATTGAAATGCACCAGAGTGATGGAAGATGCTGTCAGGGACCTCCCATTCACTTCAACAAGTCTCACCATGCAAGGAGATGTTGTCTGTGGCTGGCTGGCTGCTGGTTTCTCTGACCCAGCCCTGGCTGGCCTCCTAAGTCAGATGTTGTTGTTGTTGTTTAGTCATTTAGTCGTGTCCGACTCTTCATGACCCCATGGACCAGAGCACGGCAGGCGCTCCTGTCTTCCACTGCCTCCCACAGTTTGGTCAAACTCATGCTGGTAGCTTTGAGAACACTGTCCAAACAGCTCGTCCTCTGTCGTCCCCTTCTGCTTGTGCCCTCCATCTTTCCCAACATCAGGGTCTTTTCCAGGGAGTCTTCTCTTCTCATGAGATAGCCAAAGTTTTGGAGCCTCAGCTTCAGGATCTGTCCTTCCAGTGAGCACTCAGGGCTGATTTCCTTCAGACTGGATAGGTTTGATCTTCTTGCAGTCCATGGGACTCTCAAGAGTCTCCTCCAGCACCATAATTCAGAAGCATCAATTCTTTGGCGATCAGCCTTCTTTATGGTCCAGCTCTCACTTCCATACATCACTACTGGGAAAACCATAGCTTTAACTATACGGACCTTTGTTGGCAAGGTGGTGTCTCTGCTTTTTAAGATGCTGTCTAGGTTTGTCATTGCTTTTCTCCCAAGAAGCAGGCGTCTTTAATTTTGTGGCTGCTGTCACCATTTGCAGTGATCATGGAGCCCAAGAAAGTAATTGAGATAGACACCCACAAATCTCCACCTGCACTCTATGGCCCCACTGCAGTCTGATCCAGCACAGGTGGTCATGTTTTTAAAAGATAAACACATCTACCTGTGCTGGACTAGACCAAGATTGGTCCATAGAGTGCAGCCTGGTTCAGCTTTGTAGCCTCCACCTCTATTAGATTATCACTCCCATCAGCCTGCGGTCCACAATACCCAGAGGGCACCGGGCTGGGGAACGTGAATCTGGAACCACATACGCTTTGTGTTTGCTGCTGCAGGCACACACTTCCAAAAGATGCAGGCGAATCCAAAGTTTCAGGGGACCACAGGGGAATTAGGCTTCCAGAAGACAGATGAGCAAAAAAGCCAAAGAGCTAGAACTATAGTCTAAGGGACTTGGATGCAGCTTACTACAAGGATAGACAGACAAAATAGGTACCGTGTCTTTCAAAGGTCAGGGCATTAAGAGAGACACTGTAGTGAACAGAGGGCTACACAGATGACATCTCTGGGAAAGGTTACACTTCTTCATGGCCTACATTCCCCAAAGGAAAGGCTTCTTCTTAGCAAGATATAGAACAAGATGACTAGAAAGGAGCTTTGTTGGCAGGAGCTTTTTGTGGAGGAAGGAAGCAAAAGACCAAAGCAATTGTGCCAGTTCAGCAGAGTGTGTCTCTCTCTCTCTCTCTCTCTCTCTCTCTCTCTCTCTCTCTCAGTTTTGGAAGCTCCCAAAACATCCGTTTGAACAGTTGGCTCAATTACCTTCCTCTGTATAAAATAAGAAACTCACTTAATGTTCCTTGTAGATTTTATAGTTGTTTTTTATGGGCTGCCATTCTCAATTCTATTTGCCATTTGTGACGGAAAGAAATCTGCATGTGTGGTTCATGGACTTGCATGAGAACAGTCCAGATGATCTCACCTAAAGGTGTGCATTTTGATGCATACATTTTGAGTGTGTGCGTTTTAACACATGCATGCATATATAATTTTATTTGTATGCCACCTTTCCATACTTTAAACTAGGCATGGCCAAACTTGGCCCTCCAGGTGTTTTGGGACTACAACTCCCATCATCCCTAGCTAACCGGACCAGTGGTCAGGGATGTTGGGAACTGTAGTCTCAGAAACATATGGAGGGCCAAGTTTGGCCATGCCTGGTTTAAACCACGTTCAAGGTGGCTTACAACATGGAAAAGTGCATAATTACAACGTAACAAAGTAGTCATAAACAATCAAACATCAAAAAATACACAACCAGTTTGAACAATTCCCACATAAATCACAGTAAGGTCTAAAATAAAGATACAAAAATTAATATCAATTAATTAACAACTACAGTGGTACCTCAGGTTAAGAACTTAATTCGTTCTGGAGGTCTGTTCTTAACCTGAAGCTGTTCCTAACCTGAAGCACCACTTTAGCTAATGGGGCCTCCTGCGCAATTTCTGTTCTCATCCTGAAGCAAAGTTCTTAACCTGAGGTAATATTTCTGGGTTAGTGGAGTCTGTAACCTGAAGCATCTGTAACCTGAGGTACCACTGTACACAGAACCTTAAGACCAGGGCTACTCCAAATGTTGGTCTCCACTGAGCCAATACTTCTGGAAGATAGAATCTCTCCAAGTCAACCTGCAGTTTCCTTAGCCCAAATTTGCCAAATGAAAGCCATTCTGTAATTGTCCTCTCCTTCCAGACACCTAGCTCCCCTCATCCCTTTACTTCTGGGGACTCTGCAGATACTTGCAGGTCTTGGAGAAGCATAAGAACTCTTAAGCATAAGGACATAAGGAGAGCCTGCTGGATCAGGCCAGTGGCCCATCTAGTCCAGCATCCTGTTCTCACAGTGGCCGACCAGATGCCTCTTCTGGGAAACCTGCAATCAGGATTCATGCACAAGAGCCCTCTCCCCTGAAGTTGAAGCTTTGGTGTGGCCACCCTGGCTAGTGGCCTGGCTCCATTAATTTTTGTCTAACCTCGCTTAAAGCCATCTAGGTTGGTGACCATCACTGCCTCCTGTGGGAGGGAGTTTCAGAGTTTAATGACATGCTGTGTGAAGGACTTTTTCACCTGTCCTGAATGTTCTGACACTCGGCTTCAGTGGATGTCCACAAGCCATTTACTCCTCCAATTATGGTTAGGTGTTAAGTGGTAAATAGCCAGCACTGTGATCCCCAGTATTACTGATTGATTGATTTCATTGATGGCCACCTTTTTCTCTGAAGAGCTCTAAGTGGCATACATGGTCCTCTCCATCCCTCATTTAATGCACCTGCTGCTTATTTCTCCAGATCTCCTCCCCCTTGACACCTCCACTTTAGACTTGCTCTTCCATTATTTGATTGCAATACCTAGCTCATTATTTTTACTGTGCACTTGCACATCTGCATATCAGCGCATGCACACAGCACTTCAAATCCAGGCATGCTTTGAAATACAGGCCTGGGCTGGTTTTACAAGAGCTGGACCAGTGGTGTAAGGGATAAGGCATCTGACTATGGACAAGGAGATTGTAGCTTCAACTGCTGTGTGGCTCCATGGTTGAGAGCCAGTGTTGTGTAGTGGTTGGAGAGACCAGGATTCTGATGTCCCCATTCAGCCATGAGGCCCACTGGGTGGCCTTGGGCCAGTCAGTGCCTCTCAGCCTAGCCTACTTCACAGGGTTGTCTGGGGGATAAAATGTGGAGGGAGAGAAGAAGAGAAGAAGAAGAGTTTGGATTTGATATCCCACTTTATCACTACCCTAAGGAGTTAAACCACAGAGCCTAGGGCTTGCTGATCAGAAGGTTAGCAGTTTGAATCCCTGCTACGGGGTGAGCTCCCGTTGCTGGGCTCTGCTCCTGCCAACCTAGCAGTTCGAAAGCACATCAAAGTGCAAGTAGATAAATAGGTACCGCTCCGGCGGGAAGGTAAACGGCATTTCAATGCGCTGCTCTGGTTTGCCAGAAGTGGCTTAGTTATGCTGGCCACATGACCCGGAAGCTTTACGCCGGCTCCCTCGGCCAATAAAGCGAGATGAGCGCCACAACTCCAGAGTCGGTCACAACTGGGCCTAATTGTCAGGGGTCCCTTTACCTTTAAGGAGTCTCAAAGCAGTTAACATTCTCTTTTCCCTTCCTCCCCCACAACAAACACTCTGTGAGGTGAGTGAGGCTGAGAGACTTCAGAGATGTGTGACTAGCCCAAGGTCACCCAGCAGCTGCATGTGGAGGAGCGGAGACGTGAACCCGGTTCACCAGATTACGAGACTACCGCTCTGAACCACTACACCACACTGGCTCCATGTGGGCCATCTTCAGCTTCTTGGCAAAGAAGGTGGGACAGAAATGCAATAAATAAATAAAAATAAATGCCATGCGAAGCTCAGGGGGTTCTGCAGTTTAGGCCAGTGCTTGATCATGGCCCTGTCCCATGACAGAGGCCCAGGGATCCAGCCACTTTGAGCGATGTGTGCTCTTTGTTTGCCAAAGAGACATTCTCAGCGAGTCCCGGCCAAGTCAAATGGTTCCAGAAGGAAAGTACATTCATGTAATGAGTTCATCAAAGAGGAACAACTGGGAGATTTAATTTTGAAATGGAGCCTTTGGAAGGCAGCCTGCGTTTTTCATCTGTTTTTCTTTATACCTTTCTCAAAAGTATTTCAGGAAAGGAACCCAACCAAGTTCTTGGACTCTTCTCCTGGCCTCCTGGCCTCCCTTCAGCATTAATCCCGTTTTCCAGAACCTCAGCCAGGTCCCCCTTCAGCTTTGAAGCCTGGACAGGACCACCTGCCTGCCCCAGGAGTGCTTCAGTGGCAGCTTGGCTTGACTTCTCCATGCCACCACACCCAGGAACTTGGCCCAGGGCTCCCGGCCGAGGCACTTGAAAGACGGAAACCTGAGAAGACCTGGAATGGCTCCAGGAAGGTTTATTCCTGGCAGTTAAAATCTCATCCAATAACTGTGAATTCATTGTGCCTAATGGAAAGAGCGACATCTGGCTTGGATATTACGGAAAGATTACCAGCTGGCCTGTCATGTATTGTGCAAAGAATAACATTTGCCTTGGAGGATGCTACAAGCCAGGAGCAGGACCCGGTGGGGGTGGGGGTGTGACAAATTTCTCTCCTTGTTGGCCATGAGCTTGTGATGCTTCCTGGGGCAAGTGATGCGACCGACTCTGATCCTGGGATCAGGGACGCAGCAGAAACTGAGCATTGAGATACCCACCTAGGAAATAAATCTGTGAAAATGCAACATGTACTATTTCTCCAGATTTACACCTGAGGGTTGATTGATTGATTGATTGATTGATTGTACCCCACCTTTTCCCTTGACACAGACCTCAAGGCTTCTTATAGATCAAAATAGGTAAAGGTAAAGGGACCCCTGACCATTAGGTCCAGTCGTGACCGACTCTGGGGTTGCGGCGCTCATCTCGCTTTATTGGCCGAGGGAGCCGGCATACAGCTTCCGGGTCATGTGGCCAGCATGACTAAGCCGCTTCTGGCGAACCAGAGCAGCACATGGAAACGCCATTTACCTTCCTGCCAGAGTGGTACCTATTTATCTACTTGCACTTTGACGTGCTTTTGAACTGCTAGATTGCCAGGAGCTGGGACTGAGCAACTGGAGCTTACCCCGCTGTGGGGATTCAAACTGCTGACCTTCTGATCAGTTAGTCCTAGGCTCTGTGGTTTAACCCACAGTGCCACCCGCATCCCTCTGCACACTCTTGGGTGGCTGCTTGGCTGATCAAGCAACTACAATGGTACCTCGGGTTACAGACGCTTCAGGTTACATACGCTTCAGGATACAGACTCCTCTAACCCAGAAATAGTACCTCAGGTTAAGAACTTTGCTTCAGGATGAGAACAGAAATCGTGCTCCGGTGGCCCCATTAGCTAAAGTGGTGCTTCAGGTTAAGTACAGTTTCAGGTTAAAAACGGACCTCCAGAACGAATTAAGTACTTAACCCGAGGTACCACTGTATTTTTAATCTTTGTTGGAAGCTGCCTAGAGTGGCTGGGGAGGCCTAGCCAGATGGGCAGGGTACAAATAATAAATTATTATTATAGTATTATTATTATTATTATTATTATTATTATTATTAATGAACTTCCTGATGGTAAGAGCTGTTCTGCAGTGGACTCACTCGCAAGACGGTGACCTCTTCTTCGTTGGAGGTTTTTAAAGATAGGTTGGCTGGCCATCTGTCAGGGATTCCTTAGCTGTGTTTCCTGCACCACAGGGGGTTGGGCTAGATGGCCTCTGGGGTCCCCTCCAAACCTTGCAGTTCTATGATTCAGTTCTGTGATTCTATGCAGCGAACGAGATGCCACAACGCTGCAAAGCCAATTCAATTTGGCCGCGTGAAGATGTCACTGAGGGTTAACTGGAGAGAAAAGACAGCCAGTTGTCAACGAAGGAAGTGCATAATTTCACAAGAAGGACGTGGGGACCAAATGCTAAGAGTGGCTTTTTTTCTTTTTTTGCACTGCCAGAAAAATTTATGAAAAGCTGTGAGTCATTTCAGCCCCGCTCTAGTTTCTGTGCTTCCCTGGGTGATGGTCTTCACGCCTCCGTGGTCATCTCGGACATAGATCTTCCTGGCAGCTTTCTCTGCCTTCTCTCGCTCACGGTGTGAGGTCCAGGAAGAGCCACAAAAGGGTTGCGAATATGACTTGTGACATGATGACCACCTCCTGCAGCCGTCCAGACCCTTGACTGCCTTTATTCTTTATTCTATTTTATTGATTTGCGGACTACAGCCAAAAGTGCAAACGTAACAAAAAGGGCAAAAAGAGAGAGTCAGAAATGTAAACCGTAAAGCCTGGAAGGGCAAAAGTACAAAGATAATAAAATCATAGAAATGTAGAGATGGAAAGGGACCCAAAGAGTCATCTAATTTGAACCTTGCGAAGCAGGAATCTTAGTTAAAGATGCAACATAGCTCCAAAGGGATAATAAAGTATTAACTCACAAAAACATTCCTTTTTAAAAAACAAAAAGATTCATAAAAATAAAAGTATTCTTCATCTGTGAGTTCCATCATTACTGAGAATAAAAGGTGGAATCTACACACATATAACAAAACACTGTGAACATGCTTTTTTTCTAAAAAAAGGTTTTGAAAAATGTATTCAAGTTTGCATAGCTCACTATCGCCACCTAGTGTCACATTTGTACATTGCGCTTTACAACAAATTTTAAATGTTTTATTTGCAGCTGTATAGATGTGTCCAAAGTTTTGTATATGCTTAAATGAGTCAGACATTTGCTGGTGGCACTGAGTGACCATATGCCTCCATATTTGTATAAGAAATAAAATCATGCCATATGAACGAACTTTCTTATGGTAAGAGCTGTTCGAAAGTGGAATGGACTCCCTTGGAAGGTGGTGAACTCTCCTTCATTTCAGGTTTTTAATCAGTGGTTGGACATCTGTCAGGGATGCTTATCTCTGATTCCTGCATTGCAGGGAATAGGGCTAGACAATATTTGGAGTCCCCTTCAAATCTGCAATTCTATAATTCTATTATATATAGGGGGGGAAAAGGCCAGTCGAACCCTGCCCTTTAGATATTTTGTTTATGAGATACCTTTTCAAGAAGGACCATTTGCAAATCCTTGAATACCAGCAATCCAAATTACAGTGGTGCCTTGGTTCTCAAACGCCTTGGTACTCAAACAACTTGGAACCCAAACACTGCAAACCCGGAAGTAAGTGTTCTGGTTTGCGAACCTTTCTCAGGAGCCAAACGTGCCCCGTTTTGAGTGTTACGCTGAGGTCTGTCTGTTTTTGCTGCTATTTTGCCTTTTCGTTTTTGCGGCTCTTTTGTTTTTGTGACTGTGTGGAACCCAGTTCTGCTACTGACTGGTTGATTGTGTGACTGCAGTATGTTGTTTATTGCTTTCATTTTATGGATCAGTGGTCTTGTTAGATCATGGGTAGGCAAACTAAGGCTCGGGGGCTGGATCCGGCCCAATCGCCTTCTAAATCCGTCCCGCGGATGGTCCAGGAATCAGCATGTTTTTACATGAGTAGAATGTGTGCTTTTATTTAAAATGCATCTCTGGGTTATTTGTGGGGCCTGTCTGGTGTTTTTACATAAGTAGAATGTGTGCTATTATTTAAAATGCATCTCTGGGTTATTTGTGGGGCATAGGAATTCGTTCATTTCCCCCCCCCAAAATACAGTCCGGCCCCCCACAAGGTCTGAGGGACAGTGTACTGGCCCCCTGCTGGATAAGTTTGCTGCATTAGATAGTAAAATTGACCCCTGCATTAGATAGTAAAACTCATGTTAAATGGCTCTTTTAGGGGTTGTTTTTAAAAGTCTGGAACGGATTAATCCATTTTACGTTACTTTCTATGGCTTTGGAACGGACTTCCGGAACGGATTAAGTTTGACAACCAAGGTACCATGGCACTAAGATTAAAGGTCTTCCAGGATTTGGCAATACCATGCTTCCCTTCATCTCCTCTCTCTTCCCTTCACCCTGACTCTCATAAACAACTTGCTACTTCTTGAGCAGGGCAGTATTTTAACTTTCCTTCCCCTTTCCTCCCTTGTCTTTGTCACCAGGTCAAGACTGGCAGATTTCCACACGAATTGCCAAGCCTCTTTCCAGTCACTGACCAGCTGCCCTGGGGACAATTACCAGGCTTGTCTTGGTTCCTACGCAGGCCTAATAGGTGAGTAGTATTAATGGGCTCATCCACACTGAAGCCAATGCTGTGTTGAAACTGCTTGTTGTGTCTTGTATTTTTATTTTTTGGCAGTGTCCACATGACATCCCTTTTGTGATACATAGATAGCAGTCAAGTACAACATTCCTAGTTTTCCTAGAGTGGACATGAAAGGGGATGTTTGGTTCAGCCAGTTGGAACTTCCTGTTTCCTCCTGGGCTGGGACAAACTTCCTTTAGCATGTGACTAGAGGTGGGCGTGACCTTACCTGTGCAGGTAACAAAAGCATAGGGCATGCAGCCCCCCTTCTTTCTTCTCTTTGCCTTCTCCGTCGCAAGACCAGCAGTTTTTTTAGCTAGAAATGCTCTGTTGGCTTTTAGCCAACAAAGAGACTATCTCCATATGGGATAGTTCCACATGTATATACTCTGTAACTAAGTTTGCCTTCAGGGATCCATCTGTGAACTGAATGTGTGAGTAAACTTCTTTTATATAGTTTACACAAGGTTGTGTCATGTCTATTCTTTTAAAGAGGAATATAAGGGAAATTACCAGGAATCTTATATTGAGAAGCTTAAACAAGCTTGCAACAAGCTAACCGCTGTGTGTTTAAAAGGGGAATGTAAAACTCTGCTAAGTTACAGAACTTGCTAGTGCAAGTTAGGAAGGATATTATTAAACAATATATCCTCTCCTGCCTCCCTGAACATTCCCACACCTTCCAAGTCTACAGCTGGATTCCTCATTAAAATAGTGGTTTGTACTCTCCCCACCCCACCCCACCCCCAAAATCAGATTTTACTCAGCCATGTATAATCTGATACGGGAAGACAATCCAATATAGAATTGCATGTTACCCCGTTGTGAATTTTGTCACTTGAGGCAAAACAGAAAGGCTTCCATCCACCTCCCTCCTCTGCTCCTACCTGAGGCTATCAAGTCACAGCTTGTGCAGCAGAACAACATTAGGAATGTAGGTTCATGGACCTTTCTTATCCCAATTAGCTGCACACAGCAGCTGACCTCTTTCTGCCCCTCTTGCAATGAAAAGACCATCTGATGGGATGTGATAGCCATCTTCAAATATCTCAAGGCTTGTCACATGGAAGATGGAGCAAACTTGTTTTCTCCTGCTCTGGAGGGTAGGACACGAACTGATGGATTCAAGTTACAAGAAGGGAGATTTTGACTGATCCTCAGGAAGAACTTTCTGACAGTAGGAGCTGCTTACCAGTGGAATGGATTCCATCAGGAGATGGTGGAATCTTCTTCATTGGGCATTTTAAAGCAAAGCCTGGATGGCCATCTGTTGAGGATGCTTTAGTTGAGGTTCCTGCATTGCAGGGGGTTGGACTAGATGACTCTTGGGGTCCCTTCCAGCTCCACGATTCTATGTTAAGTAAGTTTAAGATGCTCTGCTTGCAGATGCAAGGTCTCAGTCATGCATTTTTCCATGCAGGGATAATACCGGCAAAATAGTCTTGGGTAGAAAATACAGCCAGAGTCAGACAAGTGGTCTAAGTGTAGAGGTAGCTTAAGCACATGGCAGAAAGGAGGAGGAAACAGTCTTTGTTTCCTCTTTGGAGAGGAGGAGCATGACTTAACTGAGTCTATCTAGCAATACAATATAGTCCTTAACCCCTTCATGTACTAACTAGGAGTCGTGTGTAGTTCTGTTTGACTGCAATCTCCCACAATATCATGGGGCAGCCCAGAGCTGGGTCTGTGAGATACACAATGATGCTTAAATTGAACACTGGGGGTCCAGTACCTGATGTGTGCTGGACAAATGGAGCAGGGTTTTGAGAAAGGAATTACAAAGACGGTGGCATTTGCCCATCCCTCTGTGTTGGGGGGGACACGGATGGCGCTGTGCGTTAAACCACTGAGCCTAGGGCTTGCCGATCAGAAGGTCGGCAGTTCAAATCCCCGCAGTGGGGTGAGCTCCCGTTGCTCGGTCCCTGCTCCTGCCAACCTAGCATTTCGAAAGCACGTCAAAGTGCAAGCAGATAAATAGGTACCATTCTGACGGGAAGGTAAACAGCATTTCCGTGTGCTGCTCTGGTTCACCAGAAGTGGCTTAGTCATTCTGGCCACATGACCCTGAAGCTGTACGTCGGCTCCCTCGGCCAATAAAGCAAGATGAGCGCCGCAATCCCAGAGTCAGCCACGACTGGACCTAATGGTGAGGGGTCCCTTAACCTTTACCTGTGTGCTTTACCCTCTCCCTTCTTGGACAGGGTTGGACATGACACCCAACTATGTCGACTCCAGCACTGCCAACCTCGTTGTGTCCCCGTCGTGCTCCTGCCGGGGCAGTGGCAACATGGAGGAAGAGTGTGAGAAGTTCCTGAAGGACTTCATGGAAAACCCCTGCCTGCGTAAGTCATTCTGTGGTCCCCAGAGTAGAAGTTGGCCAGAGGGAGGTTAGGGCTGTTCTCAAACACCGTGGAGCCTCGTGTGTGTGTGTGTGTGTGTGTGTGTGCGTGAGAGAGCGAGAGAGAGCGCCACATGTAATGGTGGAGAGGGCTATTGATGGCTACTAACCATAATGTGATCAGGCCAATGGCCCATCGAGTCCACTGTGAGAGCAGGATGCTGGACTTGATGGGCCATTGGCCTGATCACGTTATGGTTAGTAGTCATCAATAGCCCTCTCCACCATTACATACCATGTGCCACTTTTGAGAAACTCGCAAGCAGGATCTGAGCACAAGAGTTTCCAGCAACTGGAATTCAGAAGCCTTGCAGCTTCCAACTGTGGAGGCAGAGCTTAGCCTTCATGCCTGGCTAGTAGCCCTCGCTAGCCCCCTCCTCCATGAATTTGCCATCCAGTTGGTTGCTGTTACCGTCTCCTGTGGTTACAGTCATTATATGACATTCATGTGGGGCTGCAGGAAGCAATGGGCAGGTCAGAGAGGGGTGGGTCCCCAACCGGGAAGCCTGATAGGAAAGGGCATGGAGGTGATGTCGAGGAGGAGCTTTCGTTGCTCCTTCAGGAAAGCTGTCTGTTTCCCTCTCCAGGAAATGCCATCCAGGCTTTTGGCAATGGCACGGACCGGCCTCTCCCGCCGATTCAACACATCACCTTGCCGCCCAAGATGGAGACATCAACATACGATGCCAATGACAGCAACACCATCTATGAAACAGGTGTGACCACCACTTCGGCCTCCATCCAAGTAAGTCCTATGAGAAGGCATCCCTGTATCCCTTCATGGCGACTCAAGAGCACTGGTTTGCTTAGCAGGTGTGCTGGTCCTGTGGGTAACCCGAGAGGTGAGGTCCAAGTCTGGTCCGAGGTCAAAGGTGCACGTGGAGGCAGTCTGTAGTAGCTGAAGCTGGGTGCAGGGCAAGGAGCCGGGTGAAGTCAGGAACAGGCTTGCAAGCAGGGAGTCAGGGCGGGTCAGGAGCTCAGGCAGGAAAGCAGGACAGGGTTCAGGCAGGAACTAGCAACCAACTATGTTGCTCCCGCAACTTGGGACTGGGGCTGGCCGGCTTTTATCTGCCCTGAGGCATAGGGCGGCCCCGATCCTCTGGTGACTTGCCTCTCCTGGCCTGGAGGCGAGCACTCCCCCTGCGGGAACTTAGTTCCCGCCGCCTCTCTGCCCTGAGCCTCTGCAGCTCAGGAGAGGCTGGAGGGTTACCGGACCCAGAGGCAACCTCAGCTTCCTCTGACGGGGCTGAGAGTGGAGCACCTGCAGGCAATGGGTCCTCCATCACCTCAGGAGCCAGAGCAGGCTCAGCTGATGCCTGCACCTGAGGACCCAGCACAGGTGAGGACCCTTCTGGCTCATGCCCCAGCCCCGGCTCAGCTGGTTTTGGAGGTGGGGAATCCTGTGCAGGCTGGGATCCCTCAGGTTCAGCATCCAAGTCCGAATCCCAGGCCATCACAGCAGGTCACAGAGTGTGGAGTCTGAAAGGCCCAGCCTTCCTTCCTCAGAAGATGGGGCATATGGCCAGTCCCGCCAACTCAACTTTCCATTCATGTTCTTGTTGCTTGTGTAAGTTTTAGCTCCAAAGAGCAGCTGATGAGGGGGGGTCAGCTCATGTAGGGTGATGGGGGGGCAACAAGGAGGCAGAGTAGACACACTCATGGTCAGTCTGCCTCCGATGAGGGGTCATTTGAGCAGCTGAAGGACTTGGAGATGTTTAACTTGGAGAAGAGAAGACTGAGAGATGAGATGACAGCTACCTTCAAATATCTAAAGGGCTGCCACATGGAGCAAGCTTGTTTTCTCCTGCTCAAGAGCCTAGGAGCCAAACCAATGGATTCAAATGACAAGAGGTTCTAACTAAACATTAGGAAGAGTTTTCTGAGGGTAAGAGCTGTTCAACTGTAGAACTGATGCCCTCAGAAGGTAGTGGATTCTCCTTCAATGGAGGTTTTGTTTTTGTTAAAAAAATGATCTTCATTGGGGGGCGGGTTAAGTTGAGGTTGGATGGCCATCTGTCATGGATACTTTAGTTGAGATTCCTGCATTGCTGGGAGCTGGACTTGATGACCTTTGGGTCCCCTCCAACTCTACAAGTTTATAATTACCATATATACTCGAGTATAAGCCGACTTTTTCAACACATTTTTTTATGCTGAAAAAGCCCCCCTTGGCTTATACTCAAGTGAGGCAGGTACGAGCAGCCCCAAAGGGCTGATTTTGGGCTGCTCGTTCCTCCTCCGCCACTGCCGCCACCACCAGGTTTGTGGTGTGGTGAACCGGCTTATACTCAAGTCAATAAGTTTTCCCAGTTTTTTGTGCTAAAATTTGGTGCCTCGGCTTATATTTAGGTTGGCTTATACTCAAGTATCTTGGGAGAAAAGCAATGACAAACCTAGACAGCATCTTAAAAAGCAGAGACATCACCTTGCCAACCAAGATCCGTATAGTTAAAGCTATGGTTTTCCCAGTAGTGATGTATGGAAGTGAGAGCTGGATCATAAAGAAGGCTGATCACCGAAGAATTGATGCTTTTGAATTATGGTGCTGGAGGAGACTCTTGAGAGTCCCATGGACTGCAAGAAGATCAAACCTATCCAGTCTGAAGGAAATCAGCCCTGAGTGCTCACTGGAAGGACAGATCCTGAAGCTGAGGCTCCAATACTTTGGCCATCTCATGAGAAGAGAAGACTCCCTGGAAAAGACCCTGATGTTGGGAAAGATGGAGGGTACAAGGAGAAGGGCACGACAGAGGACGAGATGGTTGGACAGTGTTCTCGAAGCTACCAGCATGAGTTTGACCAAACTGCGGGAGGCAGTGGAAGACAAGAGTGCCTGGCGTGCTCTGGTCCATGGGGTCACAAAGAGTTGGACACGACTAAACAACTAAACAACAACACACTCAAGTCTATACGGTATATGACCTGGGAAGGTGATGGACTCTCCTTCATTGGAGGTTTCTAAACAGAGACTGGGTGGGAATCGGTCAGAGTGTCTTTACCTATGATTTCTGCCTTGCAAAGGGCTAGACTACATGGCCCTTGGGCTCCCTTCCTACACGACAGTTCTGATTCTGTGATTTAAGCCACGCTTGGACAAGACTCGAGGGAGCAGCAGGAGCACCCAGGCCTTGCCACATGGCCATTTCAGTGAGCCCCTCACCACGGGGCGCATTCCCATGTGCGCGGAGACACAATGCCTGCTTGCACCACCCCTCCAGCCCACCTGCGAGACAACTCTCTGCTGAAGCCCTTCCTCCTCTCCCGGGGGTCTTGTTGGCCATTTGGATCCCCTCCTCAGCTCGGCGAGCAGATGCAAAAGGCAGCAATGTCACCCTTGGGCAGCCCCTAATTAGATCCGGCATGCCTGAGAAATTACATCTTATGCTTCTCGTTACCGCCGCATGAGACAATCAGCGGCTCAATTTCATGCTAGAGTTGCATCGCATCAGAGGCCCGGTGCTCCGTTCGCGGGCACCTCTACACGCGACAGAACCTCTCCCCCCACACACACACGGCAAGTGGGGGATAGGACAGAACGTTTTCCTCTCCATTAGCACATCCTCGGCCCCATTGACTGATTCGCTGCCTGCCCTGGAACAAGGGACATTCATTACCCAAGCCTGGGGTCAAATCTGGACAACCTTTGTTACATTTTGCTCAGGCAAAAAAAAAAAAAGTCTTTTGGTGCTGTAGTTGACAAAGACCAGCTCCGAACTGTACAACCACCCTCTCCCCCCTCCAAAGACCTAGAGTTCCCTAGAGAGCCAGTGTGGTGTAGTGGTTCAGAGCGGTGGTCTCGTAATCTGGTGAACCGGGTTCGCGTCTCCGCTCCTCCACGTGCAGCTGCTGGGTGACCTTGGGCTAGTCACACTTCTCTGAAGTCTCTCAGCCCCACTCACCTCACAGAGTGTTTGTTGTGGGGGAGGAAGGAAAAGGAGAATGTTAGCCGCTTTGAGACTCCTTAGGGTAGGGATAAAGCGGGATATCAAATCCAAATTCTTCTTCTTCTTCTTCTTCTTCTTCTTCTTCTTCTTCTTCTTCTTCTTCTTCTTCTTCTTCTCCTTCTTCTCTGGAATTTGTCTGGCGGTTTAGACTTGGTGGCTCAGTCGGTAGAGCATGAGACTCTTAATCTCAGGGGCTACAATTCTAAGGATCTAGGGTGTGTACCCCATAATATGCACTCAGTGCTGGATGTCCTTTTTGGGGTGGCTTAGTGAAATATCCTCAGAGTCAAGAGTGGATTTCATGCTCTTTATTCAGCTCATAGTGGTGAGGAGGAATGGAATTTCCCCCAGAATGTATGCTTTGTATACATTATTTACACAATGGGCCCCACGTGATTGGCTAATTCCGGGATTCTCCTGTAGGCCAATCAGGTTGTGGATTCACTTCCACCTGGAGCTGGATTGGGTGGATCCTGCAGACCAATCAGACTGCTGCATTCTGGATCCTATTGTTCTAGGACCAATCAGACTGCTGCATTTTGGATCCTATTCAACTCAGTACACAACACTTAGAAGCCTTTGTACACCAATATAGATATCCTCTTTTTATCAGTATACCAGTTCACCAGTTTCCATCCCTTCTCTTCCAAAAACTGTGAATATTTATTTCAAAAAAATTATGCACTGCCTAATTGTTAAAAGAAAAGAAAAAAACCACACACCTCAAAATGGTGTACAAAAAAAGATAAAGCAAAAAAATTATCACTAAGAAAAATTACAAGAATAATTGAAAATTTCAAATGCTACTGGGTCAAGTTCAAGGTGTTCAGTTAGTATCCAAAGCCCTTAATAACTTGGGACCAGTCTACCTGCGAGGTCACCTTGCCCATATGCACCCACTTGGCTGCTTCTGTCGGTGGAAATGCCATCATTACAGGTGTCGCATAAGAGCCGTCCTGCTTTCATTAGAATCATAGAATTGTAGCGTTAGAGGGGACCATGAGAGCAATCTAGTCCAACCCTCTGCAATGCAGGAATCGAACTTGCTCTTTGAGTGTGGCATCTTTTCGGCAGACTGCTTTGAGATTTTTATTTTATTTTTACAAACCAGCAGTGTATAGACATTAGGAGACAAACAATATGCTAAATAAGCAAATTAATAATATTAAGCATGGGGGCCCTTCATCAGCTAGATGATTTGCTCATAGTCTTTTTATTCTATCCTAATACCAGCTTCCCACTCCCAAGATACAGGCAGACTTTGGTAATCTTTTGTAATATGGCGCCCTTGCAAGGCCAAAATTTGACACCCCCAAATGGACCTTCTTAGTGATGGATCTTCTCAATTTTGCACCCCTTCGGCTTGGCATGCCGTGTAGCAGAACCGCTGTCCAAGATCTAGACATTCATGAAGAAGCAGCAATGTTGGTGCAATGAAATATCTTCTCTTATTCTCTTCTCTCCCCCCTCATTAAAAAAAGGAAAGGGCAGGAGGCTTCCAGGGAGCTAAACGTGGGGGCCCTTCTTGTTCCCTCTCCAAATCTCTTCTGGCAGTTGGAGTGTCAAGAAATGCATGTAAAGAGGCGAAATATTTAAGCAAACAGATAGCATCCAAGCCTCCCGCCTCCCCAGCTGAGTAATTGCCAGCTTGTGATGAGCATGAGAATTTGTCCATTGCCCTTGGGCTGCTGCCTCACAAGGACATCAAGCCCCGGAGTTCAGCGCGCACGGATCCAGGGGGGGCAGGCATGGGTGTCACAGGGTGGTCCCTGTGAGGGTGAGGGGACAAGCTGAGCTGCAGGCAGGGCACCCATAGAAGAGCACCATTGCAGACCTTTGAGAAAGGAATAGTCTTTGGGAATCCAGATGTGTTAGATGTGGGAATGTTGTGAGGATATATTGATTACAGTCATACCTCAGGTTACAGACGCTTCGGGTTGCGCGATTTTGGGTTGCGTACCGCGCCGAACCCAGAAGCAGCGGAACGGGTTACTTCTGGGTTTCGGTGCTTGCGCATGTGCAGAAGCACTAAATCATGCTTTGTGCATGCGCAGAAGCACCCAATAGCGACCCGCGCGTGCGCAGATGCGGCGCTGCGGGTTGCGAATGCTGCGGGTTGTGAATGTGCTTCCCACATGGATCACGTTCACAACCCGAGCGTCCACTGTAAATATTATCCTTCCGAACTCATGCTAGTGAATTTATTCATGCAGCAGAGTACATTCCCCCTTTTACACAGCAGGAAACTAGTTGCAGATTCGTTAGCGTCTCATAAGTTCTATTATTCCTGGTTAAGATCCCTTTGAATCCTCATAAAAGAATAAAGACACAACAGTCTTGTTCATAAGTAACAATAAGAAGTTTACTCACGATCAGAGCACAGTGTGGTCCCTGAAGGCAGGCTTTAGGCTTGAAGTTGCAAATAAATAGAAGGAGTGGATTTACCCCATATGGATATATCCCTGTACTGCCCGCTGAGAGCCAGCAGTGCAGTCCAGGAGGCAAAAGGCAAAAGAGTCAAAAAGAGGAAGGTGGCTGCATGACTGGACCTTTTGTTAGGTCTGGAAGGGCCATGCCCACCTACCTGGTCACATGCAAAAGGAAGGATGCTCCAGACCAGGTGTAACAGGAAGTTCAACTGGCTGGACCAACATTTCCCTGCATGTTCACTCTAGGCAAACAGGAAATGTTGTACTTGACTGCTCCAGAGGATTACATCCCACATTAGAGATGAACAGGTATCTTCCCCCCTGGCTCTGCATACTGGGAATTCTGGGTAGTAAAGGTAAAGGAACCCCTGACCATTAGGTCCAGTCGTAGCCGACTCTGGGGTTGCGGCGCTCATCTCGCTTTATTGGCCGAGGGAGCCGGCGTACAGCTGGTCATGCTAGTCATGTGGCCAGCATGACTAAGCCGCTTCTGGCGAACCAGAGCAGCGCACAGAAATGCCGTTTACCTTCCTACCAGAGCGGTACCTATTTATCTACTTGCACTTTGACGTGCTTTCGAACTGCTAGGTTGGCAGGAGCAGGGACCGGGCAACGGGAGCTCACCCCGTTGCGGGGATTCGAACCGCCGACCTTCTGATCGGCAAGTCCTAGGCTCAGTGGTTTAACCCACAGCGCCACCCGCGTCCCTCTGGGACCAGGGTTCAAATCCCCACTAGACCATCATTCGCTCATCATTCATCCGTAATTTTATTTGTATGCCACTTTTCCACTCAAAAAAATCAGGCCAAAGTGGCTTACATGCAAGAAGGCATTTCAAAACCAAAGAGTGCAAAAACGTTTCCCTAACATTTCAGTACTATAAATGTAACAAGATCAGAGATTGCCATCTGTCATGGGTGTTTTAGTTGAGATTCCTGCATTGCAGGGGGTTGGACTAGATGACCCTCCGGGATCCATTCCAACTCTACAATTCTATGAGTACATTAACAAAATCCAACAGCAAAACTAAGTTGGGAGCTTGGCAGTTTTACCTTGGTCCTGGAAAAATCCATCCGATGACGTTGCTCGCTCATCATGAAGCTCCCTGGGTGACCTTGGGCCAGTCGCTGTCTCTTGGCCTAACCTACCTCACAGGGCTACTGAGAGGATTACATGAGGACTGGGAGACGAGGGTTCAAATCCCCACTTGGGCATCATGACACCCACTGGGTGACCTTGAGGCATTCACTGCCTCTCAGCCTTTCCTCCCTCCTAAGGTTGTCATGGGGATTAAAGGAGGAGGGCGCGAAAGAACCATGTATGCCCCTTCAAGCTCCTTAGAGGAAAAAAAGTGGGATAAAAATGCAATCAATAAATAATAATAATACATAGTAAATCGTGAATGAAGGCCACCCGTCCTCTGCTGCCTCCACCTCTCTCAACTGGGCGTTCTGGTATAACTGCCTTCCCCCTGTCGCCCAGGTCAAATTGCACTCCATCAATTCAGAGATGGTTTTTATATGTACAGCAGCATCTCATAAACAAGGTAATTTGCTTGTTCTCTGTGGCTTGAGGAGCTCCTGAAGGAAATCCATCTTGTGGAATTTAATGAGGTCTTTTTTTTTGCAGCTGAAGTTATCTCTCTCAAGTTCATGAAGGGAAAGAGACGTGCGTCTTTGATGGTTTCATGCCAAAGGATGCTGCTCTGATCCCTGATTCCTCGACTAGCTCCTGGTTTTGAAACATTAGTGGCTCTTTGGTCCTTTCTTGCTCATCCCCGAGAGGAGCATCTTCAAAGCTCATGTCGTCGTGCTTCCCAGGCTCAAGAGATTTCAACCAGAGGGGACAAATACAGAGAAGTCCCCTTTGACATCTATTTAGGCCCCATTTCCCAGAAAGAATCTCTCATTCAGGGATCAAAAGAGGTGCCAGGGTGCAGATTCGAGGGACCCGTGGACTATGTACTCATTTTAAAGAGTGGGGCCATTCTACCAAGTTGTAATTACCTTGGGGTTTTAATTTCTTTAAAAAAGTAAACAAAATAAGACAAAGACAAAGAGCATAAAGAACTACTGTGCTGCCACAGCAGGTTCAAAACAGCAAAAGGTTGGACATTATCATTGAACTTGTTGTTCCAAAAGATTATAAAATATACCCCCCCCTCCACAAACCTGTTAGGCTGGTTTATATGTATTGTTTTGTAATTAATTAGCTTAATCAAACCAAATTTTCTTCAGTCCATTCAGATATAGCAGGAGATTTGATTCCCCCACCTCCTAATTATTTGATATTGCAATCTTAGCAGATGTTTTAAGTTTGAACACTATTTCTTGATTATTTTGTGGAATTGCAGCTTTTAGATAACCAAGCAGAACTATTTAAGGTTCCAAGGGGTATATTGTATCCTAACATATCAAAGACATTAGCATGAACAGATTTCCATAATATCTCCAGTTGAGAACAATTCCAAAAGATGTTTATGTAATCTGTTTTTATTCAATCCACCTCTCCAACATTTATACAATCCTGATTTATATAGGATAGGACAAGTTGGGGTCTTATTTCTTTTTAACCTTTTGCAAATTCACAGGGTCCTACTTCTAGATAAGTGGGTATAGGATTGCAGACATAGAAAATTAACTTTATTTATTCCCAGACTTTTGGGGGCCACTCCCCTTGGATCCATAAACTCACCCCCAGTGCCTCCCACCTTACCTTATAAAAAGGATTATTCGGGAGAGCGGTTTGCATGACCCACTAAGGCAGATAATAGAACACAGTAAAATGCAAAACAGCAACAATTAATTGCACATGTATTCAAAATCCAATTCAAACTCTTTTGTTGAATTTATTCGACAGACTTGATCCAGTGATACCAGCTTTTTAAAGTCTGATAGTCATTGACACCTCTGGCAACCCCCTTGTCATCCCCTTGCCTCTTAGCACCCACCCCCCTGGAATCCCACTGCCCCCGAAGAGCAGTACCCTCCCCCACTTGGGAACCATTGCACTAGACTGACCACAACACGCTCCAGCACATCTCAGGTTTCTTATTGTACATTTGTTTGGCTCACACCTGGCCTGGCTGCTTAACTGGTAGAGCAGCAATCCATTTGGAAGTTCATATTGGCGCAACCTATTGGTGTTTCGCAACTTTCTGACTAGTTGTAGGACCTTAGCCTGCACACACAGAATCCACGGAAGCAATTGGCAACTTGGCTGCAGACAGGATAGACGAAGCAGGAACCAGGAACTTGTAGTTAGGTGTTTATTATATACAGTGGACTATTTACAGGAACAGAACACGGATCTTTAGCTTGCTCTCTCATACACGACTCACAACTCCTACACTGACACAGAACAACTGAACACGAACTCCAAACTAACACATTCCAGTTAGTAGGCCATTAATTATCACTCCTTTGAGAGAGCTTGACCAATCAGGGAGCAGTCTCCATGTCTCTGTTATCACCAGGCAGACTTACTCCTTCAGATTGCCTTCTGGCTGTCTGCCAAACCTTAATTGACTCTGTTTGAGTAGCTGCACGTACACAGTTTCCCAACAGTTTATAAGGTCATCCGGCCATCTCCTATACCCAGGACCTCTAAGAGGCATCAGGAATGGAAGTCCCCTTCTATGGCCTATTTATCGATGTTAACTGTCCATACACACAAGCAGAAGCAGATATTGTAATATCCAGTGGATTGAGATTCGCCAGAATCTCCTTCCTTGTTACACGAACCCAAGGTATTCCATGCTGTTGGTTGTGATCCCTTTGTTCTGGATGACCTGATGATTGATGATGATGATGATACCAGTGGAGCATATTTCAAGATGTGCTCCAGCTCAGTAATCCTCACAACACCTGCAAAGGTAGACTGGAATTATTAGCATCTGGTAGGAGATGGTGATCAGGAGAAGTGAGGAAGCTCCCTTTCCCAGCCCAGTCAGAAATGTCAATTTAAAGTATCTGTATGTATGGCTGGTCCACACTTTTGCTTGCCTTATGCCTAGGAAGTGCAGATCCAAGTGGTTTTCTGCTTTCTAGGCACGGGTCCGAGTGATTTTGCCTTTGTCCCCCCAGAAAACATGCTCTTTAGCGATAAATCAGAACAAACAGCAATCTGTGCAAAACGTGATTGCCGTTTGCTCCAATTCAGAGCTAAGCCATGGGTGTTCCCAGGGGAAGGCAGCGGGGCAAGCAGACTTGTGGATGAGCCCATTGTCTTCACTGACTAGCAAGGGGTTGCCTTGTAGAGAGAAGAGAGACCTTTCCTATCATCTCCTGGCTGAGATTGTTTACAGCCGGGGTTTAAACCTGGGTCCTCCTGCATGTCAAGGGTAAGCTTTGCTGCCAGTGAGTGGTGAGCCTTCCCCAGGAGGCTGCAGAGAGACTTGAACTCAGGACCATCAGTATGCGAAGCAGATGTGATAATAGTGGGTAGGGGTACATGGTGTGTGCGCGCGTGCACGTGTATGTGTGTGTGTAGAACAGTGGCTTGTCTAAGGTCTGCCCATGAGTTCATGGCTTTTACCCAAGCTATTTGAGGGACTGTGAGATGCGGGTGGCGCTGTGGGTTAAACCACAGAGCCTAGGACTTGCCAATCAGAAGGTCAGCGGTTCGAATCCCTGCGACGGGGTGAGCTCCCGTTGCTCGGCTCCTGCTCCTGCCAACCTAGCAGTTCGAAAGCACGTCAAAGTGCAAGTAGATAAATAGGTACCACTCCGGCGGGAAGGTAAACAGTGTTTCCATGTGCTGCTCTGGTTTGCCAGAAGCGGCTTAGTTATGCTGGCCACATGACCCGGAAGCTGTACGCCAGCTCCCTCAGCCATAAAAGTGAGATGAGCGCCACAACCCCAGAGTCGGCCATGACTGGACCTAATGGTCAGGGGTCCCTTTACCTTTACCTTATTTGAGGGACTATATCCTCCCATCAAACCGGCCTGGGTTCTGAAATCTTGAGGGAAGACCCTTCTCTCAGTCCTGCCTCCATCACAGGCCTGCTTGGTGGGGATGCAGGATAGGGCCTTCTCGGTGGCTGCTCCCAAGCTTTGGAACTCCCTCCCTAGAGAAGTTAGACTGGCTCCCTCCTTGTTGTCCTTCTGACAGCAAGTGAAGATGGTATTATCCCTACAGGCCTTTGGGAAATGACTGTTGTATTTTAAGGAAAGGGCTTTTAAGGAGTGCTGTCCTGCTTTTATTGTTTTTCACCATCTGCATTTTAATAGATCTGTTCTTTAGACTGTTTTAATTCTATTGGAGTTTAATGACTTTTAAACATTTGTAGCTTTTTGCGTTTTATCTGTGTTGCTTTGATTGGGGTATTCAGTCTTGAGTCTTGGGCAGGGTAATGGAAGGGATATAAAGAAACAACAACAACAACAAGAAGAACTACAGTGCCCTCCCATCAGATGTCCAGGAAATAAACAACTACCTGAATTTTAGAGAACATCTGAAGGCAGCCCAGTTTAGGGAAGTTTTTAATGTTTGATGTTTTGTCATGTTTTTAATATTCTGTTGGAAGCCACCCAGAGTGGCTGGGGAGGCGCAGCCAGATGAGTGGGGTAAAAGTATTATTATTATTATTATTATTATTATTATTATTATTATTTTGATGCAGAGCCTCCTGCAGTCACTGCCTAGGTCACTGCCCAGGAGAGCTGCATTGCTTTGCATGCCCACAATGACACTTGCCAATATCCTCGCCTGAAACCAAGAGGTCTGGCTCCTTGGGTCGGAAAGAGAGAAGCAGCTCTTTCAGGGAAAACTCCAGTGCCCTGGGGTGGCTGCCGCTCTGTTGAACTGACCCTCCTTTCTTTTCCTTTCTCTCTCCCCCTCCTCCTTTCTCCCTGCAGAAGTCGCTGACCACAGACATGATCCCTGAACAGAAGACGTTTGTGGACACAAATGGATCTGGCATCCGGCCTGCTGTCCCAGGGACCCTCTTTGCTCTCCCTCTCCTCCTTTTGATAGTGGCATTATAGAAGAAAAGAAGGATGAGTGCTCTGAGGGGGTGGGGGAAGGCGCAGCCCAAACTTTTGCGCATGCAGAGATGGACAAAGACACCTTGAAAACGTTTCCTTCGGCCTTTTGGCCTTCTGGAGTCTCTGCTTTCGAAAAGGCACGGCAGCAAGTTTTGCAGGAGCTTTGACAGGACAATTTCCCCCAGGAAATCTGTGCTGAGGGAGCACTTAAACGCCGGGAATTCTGCATACTCAAAAGAGGGGGTTTTTTCGCTTTGTGTTTCCTTTTGGTTTGAAGTGTCTAGAGCAAGAGTCCGAGAGTCTCCCATTGTGTCCAAATACATCCATTTTTGAAAGGGGTCGCGAATGGCGTTTCAAAGAAGCACGCCTGCTTTTGCAAGCAGTTGGAGAATCTTGAGGAGGCTGACTCTGGACGGAGAGACTGAGCCAGTTGTGGCTTATGCGCCTTAGTTTGCCAAACTGCTTTGCAGGGCAAGAGACAGCTATGTCCCTTCCCCCCTGTCCCCCCAGTCTCCATACCATTCCTTTTTGCTGCTTGGAAAAAAACCACACACACACACAACTGTTTCCTTCCTCCCCTCAGCCAAGCTTGGCTTCCGTCACCCACAGAAGTGTCTTAACTTTCTCCTCTCAAAGCAGAAGGTGGAGAAGATGTTTGTGCAGCTGGCGGGGGGCAGGGGGTCCCTCCAGGAGTGCAAGGAGCACTGTGAGATGAGCAGCAACACCCCATGATTTTCTAGGCCTTCAGGACAGCCTTCCTGATAGCAAACCCAGTCAAGTGTCGTGGTGGAAGAAGAAGCGTATCGGACAGGTTCAGAGGAGATACCCCGTTCTGCTGTTTCTTCTGATTCCCTTCCTCTCTCTTTTCTAGGATTTTTGCTGTCCAACAGGTGAAGCTTCTCCTCTTCTCAAGGTTGCCTCAATGTCACTTTGGGTTCCTGATGGATGGAAGCAGCCATAGCTGGCAACCAGCATTCATTACTCTCCTTTGATCCTAGCCATATCTAGCATATGTACGTCAAGAGAGACCTCCTTCTTTATATACCGTATTTTTTGCTCTATAAGACTCACTTTTTCCCTCCTAAAAAGTAAGGGGAAATGTGTGTGCGTCTTATGGAGTGAATGCAAGGCTGCGCAGCTATCCCAGAAGCCAGAACAGCAAGAGGGATTGCTGCTTTCACTGCGCAGCGATCCCTCTTGCTGTTCTGGCTTCTGAGATTCAGAATATTTTTTTTCTTGTTTTCCTCCTCCAAAAACTAGGTGCATCTTGTGGTCTGGTGCGTCTTATAGAGCGAAAAATACGGTACATATGGATATACGTAACCAAACACATAACCTGGATAGGGTTCCTTTAGCTTTCCTGTCTTCTTTTTTAAGGATCAAAACCACAACAAAAATGTATTATTGTAAAGGTTTTTTTTCCAATTATTATTTAACCAATGTCTACAACAGGGAACAAAATATCTCTGCCCTCCATGTTCAAGATGACCTCCTCCAGAGCCCTGGGGCTGGTGGGGGTGTTGGCAAGAGGAGAGCGGTTGGGAGTGCTTAACCAATATCTAAAATAAACATACCAAGAAGCAAAGTGTGTGCTGTTTGAGTCACTGGCCATCCACCCCAATCCTACTTCCCCATCCTGCTTGAGGAAGGTGAGGGTAAAGCTCAGAGCAGCTGCCTCAACTTGCCTTTCTGTAGGTGAATACAGCTGGAAATGGTCAGACCACCATATTTCTGGTCTGTGCCTATTTCATTTTTTTTTTAACTATATGCTTAAAAGGGAAAGGGACCCCTGACCATTGGGTCCAGTCGTGGACGACTCTGGGGTTGCGGCGCTCATCTCACTTTATTGGCCGAGGGAGCTGGCGTACAGCTTCCGGGTCCTGTGGCCAGCATGACTAAGCCGCTTCTGGCTAACCAGAGCAGCGCACGGAAACACCGTTTACCTTCCCACCGCAGTGGTACCTATTTATCTACTTTGATGTGCTTTTGAACTGCTAGGTTGGCAGAAGCAGGGACCGAGCAACGGGAGCTCACCCCGTCACGGGGATTCGAACCCTGACCTTCTGATCGGCAAGTCCTAGGCTCTGTGGTTTAACCCACAGCGTCACCCGCGTCCCATGTGCTTAACCTAATAAAAAATATTCTCTAAATGGTTAACATTTAAAAAATTCAATTATTTAATAGATCTAGCCTTCGATGAACAGGTGAGGAAGTTGGAGGGTGTTTAGCCTTGAGAGAAGACAGGTAGCTGTCGGAGCCAGCCATTACAAGTGGCGCAGTTTAGTATAAAATAAAGACACATAGAGCCAGCAATATTTTCAGGATGGTATGAGCAGCTCCTTTCGAACTTCTCTCTCCTCCCGTAGCTTTTTTTATTATCCTTTGTCTCTCTCCAGCCGCATGGCCGTTTTCCAATGTCTCACGTTACCTCATCCGGTCAAGGCTTTTATTACACCCATCACCATATAGGGTCATCACTGCCCAGAGGAAACACAACTCCATTTAAGGTCAATACATTCGAATACATTGTAAAACTCAGAGTGCTGGTCAGCTGAGGTCAGGGGGCACCCTGCAATATTACAAGCCTTTGCCATGGCTTTATGACTCCCACAGGTAGCTATCTTCAACTTCAGAAAGTTGAAGATAGCTACCCATCTTCTCCTCTCAAGGCTAAACATCCTCCAACTCCCTCAACTGTTCACATGGAAGGTAGAGCAAGCCTGGTTTCTGCTGCTCCAAAGAGGAGGACCTGAACCAATGGATTCAAATGGTAAGACAGGAGATTCTGACTAAACATTAGGAAGAACTTTCTGACGGTAAGAGGTATTTGCCATGTGGAACGGACTCCCTCAGAAGATGGTGGACTCTCCTTCATTGGAGGCTTTGAACCCGTGTTTCCCAGCTCTTTTTGGACTACAATTCCCATTATCCCTGACCACTGGGAGACCCAAGTTTGGGAAACACTGTTTTAAACTGAGATTGGGTGGCCCTCTGTCTGGGATTTTTCGGCCGTGATTCCTGCATTGCCGCAAACCAGCTTTGACTTGATTTGGAATCAGAGAATCACAGTTGGAAAGGGCCCTGAGGGTAATATCGCCCAACCCTCTGCAATGCAGGAATATACATAAGCCACATGAAGGCACCTCTACCCGCTTGTGTGGACAGGCAGCTGGGAATGTGGAAACATCCCCGACCTTAATGACACACACATGACATTTGAAACAAAGTGGGTTGGGGGCAACCTTGCTGTGTTTTAAGACGGCCATGAGTAAAAACGTAAAGGTAAAGGGACCCCTGACCATTAGGTCCAGTCGTGGCTGACTCTGGGGTTGCAGCGCTCATCTCGCTTTACTGGCTGAGGGAGCCGGCGTACAGCTTCCAGGTCATGTGGCCAGCATGACTAAGCTGCTTCTGGCGAACCAGAGCAGTGCACGGAAACGCCGTTTACCTTCCCGCCGGAGCGGTACCTATTTATCTACTTGCACTTTGACGTGCTTTTGTACTGCTAGGTTGGCAGGAGCTGGGACCGAGCAACGGGAGCTCACCCCGTCACGGGAATTCGAACCGCCGACCTTCTGATCGGCAAGTCCTAGGCTCTGTGGTTTAACCCACAGCACCACCCGCGTCCCTCACTTCCAGCCATACCTGGAGACATTACTGGATGCTGAACTACCATGATGGTTATGCTCTGCCTTCACAGCTGGAAGCTGCAATGCTTCTGAATACCAGTTGCTGGAAACCCCAGGAGAGGAGAGGTCACTTGTTTTTGGGGTACAGCCTGCTGGTTTCCCTTTGGGGCATCACTTTGGCTGCTGTGAGAACAGAATGCTGGACTAGATGGGCCATTCGCCTGATCCAGCAGCCTCCTTTCATGTTTTTGTGGCTGCAGGGCTCAAATGTGGCCAGGGGCAAGAGATGGTGGGTCTGAATGGCCTCATTTGCTAAGAAACGGCCGCTTGTTCAGGTGACTGATCGGAAACAAGATCGGTGGAAGAACCAGAGCTCTTCTCAGAAATACACAGGCCTATTATATATGCTCTCAACAGCCGCCTCTCCAAATGGGGAAGAAAATAGATACAATCTCCGGAGGGCAATGAAATTGAAAGATTCTGATGTGCCTCGCAAGCAAACAGAACTCCACGAAATTGCCTATTGCCGCTGCCTTTATGATAATTGCCTTCCACCTGTTCTACCTGCAGGTGGAGATTGGGGGAAAGGGGTGGGGAGCAGGAGGGAACGCATCTTTGCAAGGTATTCCAAGGCAAAGGAAATCGCTTCTGGGCTGAAGGGAGCCAGACCAGAAGATGCTTGAAATTGCCCGTCAGCTGCAAGACTGCCTTCAGTGGAGGGAAGTCAAGTGCTGGAGTTCTGCGCCTCCCCCCCCCCCCAGCTGTTTTTGTTGTGGTTGTTTTTTGTCCTTGGGGAATTGCTGGTGAGCAAATTACGGTGGTACCTCGGGTTAAGTACTTAATTCGTTCCGGAGGTCCGTACTTAACCTGAAACTGTTCTTAACCTGAAGCACCACTTTAGCCAATGGGGCCTCCTGCTGCTGCTGCGCTGCTGGAGCACGATTTCTGTTCTCATCCTGAAGCAAAGTTCTTAATCTGAAGCACTATTTCTGGGTTATCAGAGTCTGTAACCTGAAGCGTATTTAACCTGAAGCATATGTAACCTGAGGTACCACTGTACAGTGGTGACAAAATGAGAAGGATGCACCTATCCAGAGACCACACAATTGCCTTTAAATACGAGCCATAGCTCATTAGTGACACAAGGAGCTTGACAAGCTCGATTGGTTAGAGCTGGTGACACTAAGGTTGCAGGTTCAATCCCTGTATGGGACAGCTGCATATTCCTACATGGCAAAGGGTTGGACTAGATCAGGGGTCTGCAACCTTTAAGACAAAAAGAGCCACTTGGACCCGTTTCCGAAGAAAAAAAAACCTGGGAGCCGCAAAACTCGTCATTATAAAAATAACTTTTTTGTCACTTTTTTATTATTTCTTTGTTTGACCCCTCAGAATTACTCCTCCTCATAGAAATAAACGTTAAATTAACAAGTTACCTTTTTGTGTGTGTGTGTTCTTCACTCCCCTTCAAAACAGTGACCAGCGTACATGCCCCCTTTCAATGCAGTGACCAGCGTACATGCCCCTTACAATGTAGAGGGCGGGCGGGAAAGTGACGTTGGGGCGGTGCGTGACTAACGCGCGCACCGCCCCATGCGACGTCACAGCCAGTACAGCGCCTGCCACAGTGGGGAGTGTCGGGGCGCACAATGCGCCTCCTCCACTCGCTAGTATCTGCCCCGGAGCCGCGGCAAAGGTGTAAAAGAGCCACATGCGGCTCCGGAGCCACGGGTTGCAGACCCCTGGACTAGATGGTCCTCAGGGTCCCACCCAACTCTACAATTCTGTGATTCTGGCTCATACCATTGGTTCATCTATTGCATGGGTAGGCAAACTGAGGCCTGGGGTCTGGATGTGGCCCAATCACCTTCTAAATCCGGCCCGCGGACAGTCTGGGAATCAGCGTGTTTTTACCTGAGTAGAATGTGTGCTTTTATTTAAAATGCATCTCTGGGTTATTTGTGGGGCCTGCCTGGTGTTTTTACATGAGTAGAATGTGTAGGCATAGGAATTCATTCATTCATTTATTTATTTCAAAATATAGTCTGGCCCCCCCACAAGGTCTGAGGGACAGTGGACCAGCCCCCTGCTGAAAAACTTTGCTGACCCCTGATCTATTGTCTACCCCAGGGGTCAGCAACCTTTTTTAGTCATGGGCCGATCCACTGTCCTTCAAACCATGTAATGGGCCATATTTTGGGGGGGGGGATATGAATGAATTCCTATGCCCCACAAATAACCCAGAGATGCAAAGGATCTAATGCAGGGGTCAGCAAAATTTTTCAGCAGGGGGCTGGTCCACTATCCCTCAGACCTTGTGGGGGGGCCGGACTATATTTTGAAGGAAAAAAAGAACAAATTTATATGCCCCACAAATAACCCAGAGATGCATTTTAAATAAAAGCACACATTCTACTCATGTAAAAACATGCTGATTCCCGGACCGTTCGCAGCCGGATTGAGAAGGCGATTTCGCCGCATCTGGCCCCTGGGCCTTAGGTTGCCTACCCCTGGTCTACACTGAGCAGCAGCAGCAACCTGGGATTTCAGGCAGGAGTCCCTTCCAGCCCTGGATCTGCCACTGGGGAGTGAAACTGGCCTAATCTGCTTTCAAGTCAGATGCTCTAACCACTGAGCCACAGTTCTGTACCATGCCAGTTGGTTACTAAAGTGGACATAGAAGCCTTGCAGAAGGGAAGGCTGCCCACGGGCGACGTGACTGGCCAGACAAAGCAGCTCGTCTCTTTCTCTCAGGGGTGAGACACATGGACATGCCCACCAAGAGTAAAATGTGCCACTTCCACATTTATTTATTTATTTATGTGGGGGAAATGCATACCGCTGTGTCATAAAAAATACTGAAGTGCTTTACAGCCATAAAAACTATTTTAAAAGTTTAAAACAGACCTCCATTAACCATTATGGAAGGATGCATTCTTCATTGCCTGCAGGCATTTAAAAATTGGCAGAGAAAGTGACT